GCAAACCGGGACCAGAAGAACATAAAACGATGTCCAGACGGGTTGCTAAAGAGCTGTGGCTATGTAAACAGACACAGCTGGACATTCGACAAGGGGGCCAGGCTGGTCTTGGTAACCGTCTGGCCAAATCCCGCACTCTATTCCTCTAGAACCTCTTCTCCCTTCGATTCTCCCTTTTCCATTCTCTGTGTGGCTTTGTCATGCTGTGGCTAAGGCGGGTTAAAGGCTCTGAGCTGTTGGCCATCAATTGCGCTCTGATCTGGCACTGAAGGCATAGAAAAGCGCTTAACTTCTGCACTGAAGGCGCACGAGTTGCCAACGAGAATGCAACCTGAGCTGGAAATGGTCCCCACATCGTGGGAAATGGCAGGCAGAGATAGACATAGGTAGCATGAAGGTGAATGAGATGCTATAAGCTAGATAGATATAGTCGATAAATCTGCATGGCTACTGGTGCACAGTGGAAAAAGTGGCAGTTCTGTGGAACTAATATTACCATATTTTGGGTAAATTTTACAAAACAAGTTCTTAGTCTGGGATATATCCAGGCCCTACCAACCCCTAACTCATCAGACAGGGATAATCACCTAACAAATCCTAAGTCCCTCAAGGGCCTTAATGATTAATAATCCCGGAATTCAAATGACCAGATTGGACAAAGGGATGAACTGTCAGAAGGTACAATATTTGGAATAACAAGGGAAGTTCTTCCAAAACTAGAAACCTTTACTATTCCCTTCCTAAGTCATTAAAAAATTAAAGTTAATTAAAGACGTGCCAGGAATAAACTAAAATCCAACCTCACTACAAAGTCACAAATTTTAATGAAAACCAGTGGTGGAGGTCCATTAAATGTTGTCTCATTTCTCAGCCAGCCTTGTATGTGTCACCCGTTTGTTGCGGCCAAAAGTGCAAGGTAACCGCAAAGAGAGAGAGAGAGGAATAGCTCCCAACCAGTCAACCTTCCTGCAACATCCGTCCTACACCTCCTACCCCCTTCGCCAATTTAAAATTTTCACATAAGCTTTTGCCAGACTTTTCGGCTTGGCATTTAAGTAATTTGTTGCCTGCAACCTGTGGGCTTCCACTACATCCAGGCAGCCAGTCCCTTTTTCCCGTCCATCACCATCACCATCTCCGTCTCCGTCTGAACACACACAAACACATATATATACAACTGGTGTCGCCGTCATTGGTTGGTAATTTTTCACTGGCTGACAAGATGTCGCCGTTCCGTCGACGTTGCTGCTGCCGTTTTTGTTGCCCCCGGGTTGCATAATTGCTTTGTGGTTAAAGGATTATTTACTTTTTTTTCCATTCTACCAGCAACGCCCATTACCAGTCCCGTCGGTGGGGTGTCGCGTCCTGCTACCGGGATGCCTGCTGACTCACTTAAGACACAGTTTGTCCTCGTCACTAAGCCGACGGCTTGCGCTGATTTTGGCTTAAATGCATTCAGCTCATTTAATTTGCAGTGCACCGACAAAAACCCACAGAGCCCGCTTCTTTGCTATACCCTCAGCCGGCAAAAAAGTCTCTTTACTTTGTAAATGAGTTTTTATGGTTTTTCCGACACGTCTTTCTTCTGTCGTTTTAAATTAAACGCCGGATTTAAGGCTCAATCGGTTTGGTTTCTTTTTATATTCAACAAAGTTGCGGTTTTTAAACCTGAATCTCAACGTTTTATTTCATATTTGGAGAGGTGAAATATTTAACAGCTTAAAATGTCTATAAAATGTAAAACTCTTCTTTAAGCTACAGCTGAAATCTTAGCCTGAACTAGTTTTAAAACCTGTTTACTAAGCTTAAGTTAAACTTATTGCAGTTTTGTCAAAAACAAGTAAAATAAAGAAGGATTTAAATAATAATATTCATCAACAACCTATTAAGTACTTCATAACATCTACTAATAAATATCAAATAAGTTTTTGTCAATAAAAATAATTCCTAACTCTTTCAGTGTTTTTTGGCCAATTTTGTCCCCAAAAACCCTTTTTTATCTTTAATTTTAATCACAAAACTCAGAAAACAGCCTTTTTAAGAGCATTTTTACTTCAGTTTTTTAAAATCTAATGATTTTTGTCATGTTTCCTTTTTTCGTTGGTCGGCCTGTCTCCCTTTTTCCCAACGCTGCTGTCTCACAAATTATATAATTAAGTTAAAGTGAGCGGCGGCGGCGGGCAATTTACGAGCAGCTCCGAACGGCTCCCATCTGGCAGCTCCAACTCGCGGCTGGATGGGGCATCCAACTGGGTAATGGGTAATGGTTGATGGGTGACTATAGGCACTGGGATAGTGGATACCCCGGGTACTGGGTGTACGCTAATTTCTTAATTCTCACCTTCCGCTCGCAGGGCGGACGTGGACCATTCCCGTGTGAAGGCAGTGGCAACGGCGGCGGCGGCGGTGGTGACGGGCAGCGGGCAGCCCCCAAAAATAGCATTTCCGTATTGCCCATGTCTATCATGACTTTTATTGTTGAATGAACCCTCCGGGCTGACGGCTCACCATCACATCGGCACCCAACCAGTTATAGTCCAAGAGCTCGTTCCCATTCCCATTTCCAGTCTCAGTCCCAGAGATTCCCGGACGGTCCAGATCCAGGTCCATGTCCAGAGCCAGTGCCATGCCCACAGTCCCTTCACCAGCCCCCTTTTTTGTAGTGTTGAATCCCCCATTTCGGCTGATTGCTGTTCATTCGCGCGTTAAATGTGGACGGGTCGAAGCGGAGCTGTGCTGATGCCGTGCGGATGCTTTTGAAAGCGAAACCTCCATACACCCATCCCCAACCCCTTCTCGCTCACAACTACATATTTTCCTGGACTATTCTTTGACTCTACTATATATCTCTCGCCCTGTCTCATTGGGCGTTTTGTGTTCAATTTAGCGTCATAATTTCGTTTATTGCATGGCCTGCTCCCCGATTCCCAACCACCCAACCCCCCAGCCCCCCTCCAAAATCTTCGACTCTTCTGCTGTCAAGTGTTTTTGTTGAGTTCATCAAAATTGTCGCTGGCCAACGATGACATCCACTTAACGCAATTTCCAGCGCTAGAAGAGGCGAGAGCATCTCTGCCACTGCCAGTAGCAGCTCTAACTCTCGAGAGTCATTCATTCATTCATTCATTCAGTCATCCATTCAAGTCGTTCAAGTCGCTCCTAAGCATCCATTCATTCCGTCATTCACCCACTCCCTCATTTCACACCATTTACAGTTACAATTAATGTTTGTTTGCCTGTCTCCCGCATTTTTTGCCAACCTCTTCCTCCGCGCTCCCTACCCCTTATCAAAAAATTAAACATCAAAGGAAGTAGCAGAAGCCACCCACAAGGTGGTAACCTTTGGCTTATCTTAAAGCTGCAAAAAGCTTGCATATTTAATAATTGCTCAGCTGAAGTTCATAAAGCTGGTAAGGAAGGAACCCTCCCTTGGGTGAAGATGGGTGAAAGGTTCCCAGGGGATTCACCCGCCTCAATGAAAAGGGTCGAGGGATGGCAGCAAAAAGCGCAACCTTAGCCCGCTCATAAATGAATGTTTCTGCTACAGAATTTACACCTTGATGAAGGGTGTGGGAGGGCAGGGAGATGGCAGGGCATCCTGTGGCATGACTGGCATGCCTCTGGACCATCTGCGGCATGCCCATAAAGTATCTTGAATATTTCAGGTGGGCTGGCAATTTAAGGGTCTCCATCGCATTCAGGTGCGGGTTCATTAGATGTCCACTGCAACTTCATTTGCGGGGGCATAAAAAAAGGTGAAACACAAATCTTCGCGGCTGGTTGCACTGCCAGCTGGTTAGTTGCCAACTTCTTGTTTAGGCTTGCTTTGGATTTTTAGGTATATTGTTTAGAGATATTACTAGGAGTATGTTGAAAACTATTATTAAATCAAAAATATATTTAATATTAAAGGAAAAGATTGTATTACTTGGTTAAGCAACTTAAGGCAAGCTACTTTATTTGGATTATGATGTCTAAGGGATGAGATTAATTCAGAATGATACCTTCAGATCGTAGGTTTAATGTTACTCAAAACTTAGATTAGAATTAGAAGGGGTTTTTTTTTTTGGTATACAAATACTAACCTAGGTGTATTATGTCCTGGTTTAACTTAATCATAAACTAGTTCTGCTTTAAATTTATATTAAAAGAGAAAAAAATGCATTTTCGTATTTTAAGATATGAAAAGCTACAAAAATCTATGATTTTTTATTTACTATTTCCTATTAAAATATTAAAAATGAAAACTGTTTTGTTTATTTGATTAAAAAAATGAAATTAATAGAAAACTAAAGAGAAGAAAGAGATGGTAATGATAATATCTGAAGGTAAAATCGACAAAGTAATATCCTTTAGTTAAGCTTCTTAAAACAAAGACTGATAAATGACCCACCTTAAACTTTTAATTGACCAACCTACATAGATGCCACGTTTTTATGTTGCTGTCATAAAGCAAATAGGAAGCCCAAGTACCCGGGGTATCCCTATAATCGTGAGACCCAACTTTTGGCATCCCAACTTGTTGTTGTTTTGGTTTTTTTATGCTGCTGTTATTTTTGCTGCAGAGGCTTAGCCCAGCCGACGACGTCAGAATTTCAATGTTTATTTTCGTTTTTTTTTCGTTTTACGTTTCTGCCTAGCCTGTTAATCTATTTTTTTATGCGCTTTGCCAGGGCATTCGCCTAAAAGCTAGCTAAGGTTTTTTTTGGCTGCTGCCTTTCGGCGGGCTGTTTTCTGCTTTTGATTTGATTTCGTTTTCGTTTCGCATTGTGGGTTCCGTTTTCCCTCTTTATATATGGGTTGTTTTTGGGAATGGCACCGAAAAAATAAACCTTTTGTTTGCTTTTGTCATCTCGTCCAGCCACCCTAATTTGTTGTTGTTGTTCTCGTCCACGTTTTTGCATACAAAAGGCAAGCATACACACACACACACAAACGCCCAACTTAAATGAGTTTTCATACACCCCGCTTATTGTAATCAAACAGTTAGTTTGGTTCACCTTCTTACGTACTTCTGCTTTGGGTTTCCTTTGCTTATGTTCTCCTCTGTTTTTGCCGCTTTGCTTTCCACTTGCACCTTCTTCTTCCTACTGATTGGGAGCACTTAACATAATTTAATTTCGGCAACTATAAATTACAACTCCTTGCACTTGGCACACCACCAACACTGAAGTTGTTTGTTATTTACTTTTCTCCTTGTCGTTGTTGTTTTGTTGTTGTTGTCACAGCTCAAAGCCCCGTTTATCCTTAGCCTAAGGACCAAGGGAAAGGGCAATACACACGCCCGGAGGAAAGGATCCCGCCGAACCTTAAAAAATGCAAATTTTTCCGAATATTTCTTCAACACAAACACACCTCTGCACTGGGCAGCACAAACAAAGCTTTTGGCGTCGCTGTTTTGGTTTCAATTTTGGTTTTTTGGATCGAACCGACTTCGATTTCCCGTCTTCCAAGATATTCCCGCGATTTCGGAACGGATGCGTCCGCGCGATTCGAGCCGATACAAGCGATTGAAGCGAACATCGGTAAGTTGGGTGTTTTTGTTCGCACACTGTTAACATCTTGCTCTCTTTGGTCGCCTTCGAACTTGTTTCTGGGATGCAACGCCTCTGGAACGGACAATCTGTTACAGTCCAGGCACATGGGCGTAGCCAGGTAATAGGTAACATAACCTACTGCACCTATCTAGAAGCTTAAACTTTTTTATTTCTTATCCACAAAAAAGTTTTAATCACGTTAATTGTTATAAGAAACTACTAAGTTCTTACTTAAGTACTTTTATCTCTTTAAAAAGTAGTTTTGTTACCACAAAGATTCACAAAATTGTCGTAACAATAAAGTCAAATGTGGCGCTTGAAAAATTAAACTTTTTAAATAAGTTTTTCGAATGTTTTGAGAAATATGAGTTTCTTTAGGGAGATGTTAATTAGTAAACTTAAGTTAATAACAACTTTATTGTACTATAAAATATTTATTTATATATACTAAATAAGTTTTTAATTTCAAAATAGTTTGGAAAATGTACTTTTATTACGAAATTAAACATGTTAAAAAGCTTAAGCCCTAACCCCTTGACATAACATGAGACCAACAGTATTACCTTGTGAACAGTGGAAACAGAACACTTCATACTCATGGGAGAGACCCATCGAAGTCATACAAGAGGTTGCGTGCCTACATGGTTTGAGTTCGAAACATACGTGTGGTTCGAAGAGAGCGTTTTGCAGGAGGTGTTGCAAGGTAAATAAGCACGCATAACGGAGAAAGCAGCAACAAAAACATGATCAACCGGTGGGAGTCACTTATTGCACTTCAGGTAATGCCCTCTGAATTATGTAATTATGGCTTTTAAATTGGCTAATTAGGAAATCAAATATTTGAGAGAAAGAATTCTGAGATGGCATGGAATTCAACGTTGAAATTGCCTTGCAGATATAAATAATTCGATTTCTTGTTCTACTCAGACTTAAATTTTAATAGAGTAACTTAATATGTATAAAATTAGAAATAAAATTATTTCAAGCGAGGATAACTAACTAAGTATGCCTTAATATTCTATTTTCCATTATTAAAATTGTACAAATTCAAAAAATCATTAGATTTAATTAGGGATTTCTGCTATTTATTAATTTATTAATTTAATTAAAATGCTATACAGTATAAAATAAAATTTTTTAAATTACCAATATCAATAAATCTATATTGCTAAAGAACATATAATTTAAGATAATAAAAACAAGAAAATGCATAAATTTCAGGTGAAACTTTTCATTGTTATGCCAAAAAAGTTCGTCCGATAAATCACTGAATTTTGAGCATTCAGCAAGTGCATTTTTGGAATCGCAACTCAATAAATCTCACCTTTCTCTCCGCCTTTTCGGAGGCCATAAGATAAGAGCAGATTTCAGGTCACTGAAGAGGAGGCAAACAGCTGCTTTCGGTGGCCAAGGCCCCTTGAAAGCACCAAGGCGATTGTTCTGAAAAGCCGGCAAAACAAGTTCCCTGCTCCCCCGCCTACGGTTTTTTGCCCTTCAGTTGACAAAGAGATTGATGTCGCTAATTATAAGTACACGTCAATTATAATTGGCACCCAATCAGGGTCGTAGGAGCCGCTTTATTAATTAGCCGCAATTGTTGTTATGTGTTCCATTACCACACGTTTCTAGCACTCCCGTTTCTTGCGCTCTCTTTGGCGCCCACGCAATGGTCTCTTTGGTGAGGTACACTTTTCGGGGGCACTGAGAAAAATAAGTTTTACATATTTTAAATTCAATTTTTGTCAATGTAATAAAACTGGAAAAAAAGAAAAAACAACTTTTTTATATCCAATAAATATATTTTAAATATTTTAATTTTAAATGAAACAGTTCATAAAATAAGATTCTTTAAGTAGAAGTTCTTGAGCCAAAACAATATCTAAAATCTTTAAATTTCAAACATTTTTCTCTCTGTTTTTGGTACATTTCCTAACGGTACTTTTTCGACTCTAGAACGCCATGCTCATTTCCGGTTTCCGTTACTTTGTGTGCGTGAAAATTCCGAATTGCGTGGCAAAAGTTAGCCACCCAATGACTTTTTTGCTCATCTGAATTTTATTGAAAACACATTAAGACATCCCAGTGGCAGCGACACTTTCGCCGGAAGTTGCCAATTTCCCCCCCGGAATGAGCGCCCTCCAAGTTTTTGTGGGCGTGACCCGTCAGGGAAATCAAATTGTCTGGATGCAATGGCAAAAACGAATTGTTTTCCACTGCCAATAAACGTAACTTCCCCTCGAGCAGGCTAATCAACGTTGGGCAAGACGAGCCGAAAAATGTCGTGAACAGTGAGAGAATTTCCACCCCAGCAGGCTGATAAGACACCTGCATTGATTAGATAAGAACTAGAGAGAGGGAGAGAGAGGGAGCTTTTTAACTACACACATTTTTTATTCGTTTGATAGCTGAAGACACCTAATCGCGCTTAGTCACAGGTTGCCAAAGCGCGTAGACGGTCAGAAATGGACGACACCGACTTCTCGCTGTTCGGGAAGAACAACAAGCACAAGAAGGACAAGGCGGATGCCACCCAGATCGCTAAGACGCCCACCTCGGAGCTGGATCTCAAGAGGATTATAATCTCGCGACCAACAACGGAGGATACATACGAGAATTGCCAAAGGGCTGGTATAGCACTGATACTGAATCACAAGGATGTCAAGGGACAGAAACAGCGAGTGGGCACCGAACGGGATCGGGATGACATGGAGGCCACGCTCAAGGGTTTCGGATTCGATGTGCGAACCTACGACGATCTGACCTTCTCCGACATCAACGACAAGCTGAAGGAGGGTGAGTCTTGAGTTGCCAACGGTTACATAGCTTCCTACGTAGCACCCATAAATCACTAAAAAAAACCGCTTTATCTTTTTTCAAGTTTATTTTTGGTTTTTCTTTTGGTTAAATACAAAGTTAATATCTTTCTTAATTAGCCTTCTTTTCGCAATAACATTTACCTATTTCCCTATCATTGTAACAATCACTTTTATTGTTATTCAAATTCTATTTTAATGGTTTTTGTTTATCAAAATTGGTGACATATTTCAAGCACAGATATCTTATCAATATCAAAACAAAGTCACTACTTTTATGACTGCAATAATTGTGAGATAAAGACAGTAATCGGGTTTTCCGATCAACGGGAAAGTCATCCAAAAATGATTTCTTTATATTAAAGAAAATTAACAAAGGATAGGAAAAGAATGTTCGATGACTGATAAATCGATTAGATAATTTCCCTATTTAAATAAGAAATAAATACAAGAATGTTTAACTATGACATTAATTTATTAGACTTTCTAAAAATATATTTCAGCTTTAAGATAAGCCCATGAATAATCACTTTATTACTCAATATTTAAAACTTTTTCAGTGGCTCGCGAGGATCACAGTAAAAACGATTGCTTTGTCTTGGCGGTGATGTCCCATGGCACTGAAGGCAAGGTCTATGCCAAGGACATGTCATATCCTGTGGAACGTCTCTGGAATCCCTTCCTCGGCGACAATTGCAAAACCCTAAAGAACAAGCCAAAACTCTTCTTCATCCAAGCTTGTCGTGGTGAGAAATCTGGAGAAAGCCGTTGAGTTCTCCAGCTTTGCAGTGATGACCAGAGAACTGGTCCCGGAGGCACCTGCTCCCGTGCAACCCATTACCTATGCCATACCCAGCACGGCGGACATGCTCGTCTTCTATTCCACCTTCGACAGTGAGTGTTGACAAAAGTAATCTTCTTTTCGTAGTTTCGTAGTTTCGCAAACAAGTGAAAATTTTCCATGCTTTAGAAAGCTTTTGACATCAATCAATGGGGGGTTTCGAAAGGCTAAAAGGAAAGAGTTTATATTAAATTAGAAAACAATTTTAATCATTGCTAATTTTGCTCTAATTATTATATATCAGAAACTTCAAGTTAAAACCCTTCTTCCTTTCAGAGTTCTTCTCGTTCCGCAACGTTGACGATGGCTCCTGGTTCATCCAGAGCCTGTGCCGTGTCCTCGACCAGGCCGCCTCCAATGAGGCCTCCCAGCCAGAGGGTGCCGAGCTGCTCCGCCTGCTGACCGCCGTGAACCGCAAGGTGGCCTACGAGTATCAGTCGAATACTAAGAACGAGGCCCTTAACCAGATGAAGGAAATGCCCAACTTTATGTCCACACTGACCAAAACCTTTCAGCTGCGTGTTAAGCCCAAGACCTGAGATCTGGTCACGAAATCAGCGACAATCCACTTGGGGGACTGTGACTCAGTCCAGAGCGAACCAGAGAACCAGAGGGACACCACAACTCTTTCATTTAATAGTAATGTTTGCAATTTGTTGATAGAAATACATATCGATGGCACTTATCTGGAATTGGCTTAGTGCCTTTGGGTCTTTGGTGGATAGCGTTTGGCTGGCAATTAGATAGAAGATAGAAGCCGTGGGGTCAGTTGCCCGGAAAATGTCGCGTTTGCCGCACGTCTGCGGTCTCTGTTTGCTGCTGAGATTTTGGCAGCTTTTGGCCTTGGCCCCGTTTCGAGTTGGTGGGCGACTGGGTGCCAGGTGTCAGCGATGGGTGACCTTGATGGCAGCTTTTCAGGTGGCTTCTCCTGACTTCGGTTGCTCCATTTACCCTGTGGAAAAGTGCCGCCATGTATGAGGCCACCAATGTCCGGCATTCAACGGTCTTCAAGACCATTGCTTTGGCCACCATGACGGGAGATGTCTGCATTTCCTTGGCTCTACTAGGAACGCATCTCGTAAAACGCAAGGAGTTGGCCACTCTGGTGAATGGCTTGACCAGATTGCATCGCCGGAGAAGATTAAGTTGGTTTTCAACCGTATTCCTGTGGCTAAAACTCCTCCTCTCCCTCTACGAACTTTTCTGCAATATACCCTTTCTCGAGGGAGCAGGCAGCCGACTGCCTTGGTCTCAACTGCTAGCTTTTGGAGTCCAGCTTTATGTCCAACATGTTACCAGCGTCTATGCCAATGGTATCTTCGGTGGCATGCTACTAATCCTGGAGTGTTACTACCAACTGGATGGCGAGGACACCATCCTAGCTAGACTTTTAAAAAAGGAACGCAGCTGGATGAGATTGGTCACGAGATTCGTGAAGGTCTTTCAGCTGGGCATCTTTCTGCTGGTCATCGGCAGCTTCATCAACATTCTGGCCAACATGTACGCCTTCATGTCCTACTTTGTATCCCTCCACGGGGTTCCTCTAACCATTTCCAATAATTGCCTTATCATGGCAGTTCAGCTGTACGCTGTTGTCTTGGCAGCTCACCTTTGCCAGGTGAGATCTGCAAGCTTAAGAAAAGTCTGTTTGGAAAGGGAATATGTTCCGGATGGATTGTTACAGGATCAGGTGGGTTAATGTAAACTAATCATAAGTTACTTGATCTTTGACATTTTTCCAGGCCATGGCTGCAACACCATTTCCTTTGGTCTCACCCACTGGCAATGTCAAGTTTCATATTTTAGGCCTCTTTACGGTGGACCACTCCTTCTGGCTTTTCCTGGTCTCCTATGCCATGAACTTTATTGTGGTAATCCTGCAGTTTAGCCTTGAGAATATGGCACATGCTTGAAACATAGATGCAAACCTTTAATACTTTTTATGTGAAACATATCAGAACGAATCTCAGTTAGAAATATTAAATTAATTGCTTTTTTGTCTGAAAAATATATTTAAAGGCTTTTTAATACATAATATAAATGGAAAATTGATCAAAATTTTAAGAAAATAACTTTAATAATTAACGAACTTGATTTATTAAATTACATACAGCTTAAATTATCATTTTATTGTTAAAATTTAAAATAAATTAAAATTCAATTTATTGAAAAACTGTAACTGCTGAGCTGCACAGTGGCGCCAAAGCATCATCTACGGAGAATACGGCAGTTATGAAGAGTAACTTCATTTTTCTAGGTGGCGCTGCTTTAGTTCCCAAAAACCGACGCCGCAAAAGAGAAGTCGCTTTTGACCCAAATATTTGAGCGCGAAGTTCAGTTTGTTTTCAAATGTGAATGTCAATAATAAATGAATTAATTAATTTATCTTTTGTTATTTTTTCAAACAAAAACGTAAAAAAATCATAACAAAAATATATCAAAGCGTTGACATGGAAATGGAAAGGTAAATCTGCAATTTCTTAAAGTTGCCTTTGAGTTACCTCATTTTAACCCATTTATTTTTATTTCAAAAATCAAAACAATTTAAGTAGAGCAGGTGGACTAAGCTGAGCATTCGGTGTGATCTTGATTTTATCAAACAAAGATTGATGGACAAATCTCCATTCAATGGATTTTCGTTGCTTTTGCTTGGCCACCCAATCGAATTCGTGAATTTTGATATGATTTTTGTGAAATGCTTTTGTCACTTGACTGGCCATTGCGTAAACTGGAAATGAAAGTGGCAGCAGCCAGCAAATCCCAAAAACTAGTTGAAATAGATTTGCAGATGAAATAAAAAAAAAGAAACATGAAATCGTTTAACTCTGCCACCAAAAACTGCAAGATATGATGTCTATTATTGATCATTAATTGCCATCGGCATAGGCCAAGCTAAGACTGAAAGTTACATAAAGATTAAATTGTAAGAAAGCGGTTTACTAAAGAAAAGAAGGAATGTTGTACGCAAATAATCAATTTAATTGGTAAGGTTTTGAAATCCCTTCAAGCCAACGATGCATACCCAATTTGTTGCTTGCCACATTGCAGCAAATCCAATGACTGATGTGTGAAATCTGATATGGCTGGCAGGTGAGTTGAATGATTAGCATATCGACTAAGCCAACGCCGTCTTCCTGCTTTCACTTGCCGACTTCTCGAACGGCCCTCGCTGATTAGCATTGATTCTGCCAGCGAAGAGCTGTGGCTAACCACAAGCGAGCCCAGAAACCAGGAGCATTCGCACGCGCCAATTTTCCAAGCCGCTGACTCGATCGGTTCGGCTTGCCATCTACACACTGGGAAAATTTTTTATTCACTTTGTTGGTCTCATTTTCGGTTTTTATTTGTTTCTATTTGTTTTTAATGCATTTAATTATTTTTAATGAAATCAAATTAGTGTTTTTTATATGTTTTTTTATCTTTTTTATAACTCACAACTCCCTCTTTTGATGTTTTCCAATGCTAACTCTAACAAATTCTTTTACAGCTAAGCTTATAGTTTTCTTTCTTTATATACTATTTAGTAATTTAAATATGTACAAAATATAGATACCCCTTATTTTTACCAGTGCATACCTTTGCGTAGGTTGTTGTGGGCTGTCGGTCAGTCGCAGTTGTTGCTTCTGCCGCTTCGACTTCGTCTCCACTCAGGTGTTATGTAAAGCTATTAAACCGCATAATAATGCAAACGCTGCTCGGTCTCTTCAGCCTCTCTGCCTTTCTTGGCTCTTTCTTCTTTCTTTGCAGCAGCGGTCTTGTTAGCATTTCTTCGACTACCTATGGGCTCTCCCTTGGTTCTTTTCTTTTAAGCAGTAGCGCATCAGCTCGAACTTAGCTATAAGCAAGAACCGTTAAGACGCCTTTATTGCAACTGCAGCGGTATTCCATTCGATTCCTATTGGATTATCGCTGTATTGTCTGGCCGTGTTTTGTCTAATTTTTGACTCGCTGACTCTCGGCTTTCCATTGCGGCATCTTCGTAGACAACGACATCGACATCACCATTACTATTGCCATCAAAGGGGGCATCATCAGCACCATCAGCTGAAAAGTGCCTAGGGCTCGGAACCCCAGCGAACTGCATGTTTATGCCTTATGTTAATCACTTTTGTTGTTTATACTTTTACGACTGGCTTTTGCGCTATTGGACCTTCCTTCCTTGTTTCTCGCTTTCTGACTGGCTTTCATTTATCCATTTGGGCCTGGCTTTTGTCTTTCTGAGCCATCAGCACGCAACGCGCTAAAAGCAATGAATAATAGTATCGCAACGGTTTCTGGCCGAGTCTTTCTATGTATAGCCAAGGATACGCAGAAAGAGTACTCAGCTTATAGTACTCCACCCCACCATGTGCCTCTTCTGCCAGCGCTTTTCCTTAGCACCACACTTGTCGTGGCTTTTCTTGTTTTCTTGTGTGTGAAAAACTAGTCTCATCGCACTCTGCTTTCAGACTGCAGTCGGGAAGATAGCTTCAGTTGGTCGCGAGGTGTTTGCGTTGTCGGTTGTTTCGCTTTGAGCGCGATGCGAGATTTTGGATAGTGCTATAAACATCAAAGGAAAAGTCTAGTGAAAATCTTAACAACCTGCCAGGATATGGCATTCATGCGTTTTTGGGTTCTTCCCGTTGTCATTTTTGGTCTATTCGTTATAGGCCAAACGGCGAAAACGGGACAAGTGCAAGGCAAGTTGCAAAGTGGCCGAAAGCCGTTATAGCCTTTTTAAGTTGGCGGGATATGTGCATAAATCTCTCGGCTCTAATGCATGTGCATGTGTGTGTGTCACCAAGTCTAAATCTCTCTGCCTCAGTGCTAATGTGTGCGTTGTTGTTGTTGTTGTTGTTGGTTCGTGTAAATCAAGTGCTGGACGCAGTTTGTCGCCTAAGTCTTTCGTTTGCTGGACAACCGACGAAACCCTGCCGCTCCCCTGGGCATGCAACTTGTTTGTCTCGTTTACAGACCGTTAAATAACCCAAATTTCGAATTTAAATGCTAGTGCGACAGCTTTTCCTCAGGGGTTCGCAAAAAAATGTGCAAGGAAATCGATTTGTTTTTGGTTTTATTTTTTTTTTTCAATCATTATCTCTATGCGGCAACCTGTCGATTAGTTTATGCAATGACTGACAGCTGACCCACTTTAATGGCCTTAACACATCTCCCCCATCCTATGGTCTGACCCATTTCGGTAACCTGCTCCTGCACCTTCCACCGGCCAAGTTAATGAATCTTCGACCGCGACCGCCCCATTGTGAACTCGAAAACCCGACACTTGGGAACCCAAGTGACTGTGTGTGGAAATGTTCTAATTAAAAACTTAATTTGTTTGTGTTACTTGGAATGACCGCCTGAACTTAATGTTCTAGACGATGGCTGGCTAAACAGGTAGCCAAGTAGCCAAGTATGAATGGGTAAATTGCTGCTAGAGAACGTTGCCATCAACAAGTGCTAAAACGTTCGGGCCACATGTGAATGGTGCATATGAATTACATATAATTTCTGTTTTATGAGAACAATGAGAATGACATTTATGTTGTGGGAAATGAGTTGAAGAACCGTTACGAAAAGTCTTCAATCTTGAAAGTGTTAAGTGCAATCGGAACAGAACTGCATAATTATTTGAATGTGAGTTCAGTTCGTTATTGGGAAACATTTACATGGAAATCACATGTGAAATATATTAAGGAAAACTAGAAAATGGATGAGTAAGAAGAATCTTCTGTGAAGAATTTTTTTGGTTTTCAGAGTGGAGAAAATCAAATTCAAAGTTCTTTAGTCCGTGAGTATGCGGTTTGCTAGAAAATTTGGAAACATATCAGAGACACTATGAAGATCTCTGTGGCGATTCAGATTCTTCTATTAAAGCTATCAACTTGGTTCTTTGGTACAACAAACATTACTACTTACTACTATAACTTCTTTCTCTACAACAAAAACAACAACTGTTAAAGTAAGGTTTCAGTATACAAAATATTTATTTTACAGTGGATAACCACTAAAAGAAACCTCTTTGTGATCAATATAGATAAGAGCTTAAGCTACTAATTTGATTAAAATCTTTAATTTAGAATCTAGCAATATCAAATAAGTTGTTTTTGCCACTCAAACCCATATATATAAGAGTTCAAATGACATCTCATTTTCCTACCAAGAAGGGGAAACCCTCTAACGCCAGCAGTTCACACCGAAGTGAGCCAGAAACTGCAAGTAAATAATAGAAATTACAACTGTGGCAATAACAAGAAGCAGCAACATCAGCAGCAGTCAGTACAGCGAAAATGGAATAAAACTAAGCCACAAAAAAAACAATATACCAACAGCAATGCCTACGACGACAAGGGGCCACCGACAAAGTCACCAGTCTCCGGCTGAAGAAGATACTTGACGCTGGCCAAGATTTCACTGCATCTGCATCTGCATCTGAATGCAACAATGATAATTTCCCGCTGCAGGAGATCTTCCGAAAAAAAAGAGTACAAAAAAAAAAAAAACAGAAAACAAGAAAGAAAATGAAGCTCGGAGAAATGTCAGCGAGTCAGACGTTGTGGTGGTGTGTCTTCTTGTCACTCGGAACGCATTTGGCTGAGATGCCTTTTGGGGCCAAAAAGCCAGTCGAGCCGTGGGCAAACAAAAAATGCTTAATTATGTCATGAGGGTGGGAACTAAGGCAGCAGAAAATAATTTGCAAAAGCTGATTGCAGCCAGGGCATAGATTGAGGGAATCCAAAAGACTGAGAGACAGGGAGACAGCTGTGGAAAATGCATGTGGAAAAGTGTTGCAACTGCACATGAAAATCGCAGTTGAATGGGCCACGCGACAAACGTAGAAAGTTTTTGGTTAGCTGGCGCCAGTTCTGCCACGCCCCCACACCTTGCCACTCCTCCAGTCCCCACAATTTGTTCCGCACGTCGCGAACTCGGTGATTTTCCAATTGTTGTTTCTGGCGCTTTTCCGTTTTTGGTTCTCAGAGTCCGCGAAAAAAATTTGCATGCCCAAATAAACAACAGCAACAATTTGTCAAAGTTTTACTTTTCTTCTACATGCCACATACATATATATATATATAGTAATCTGTAATCTCGTGGCCCACTTTTAGCCAGCTCCAGCAGTTGTGCGTTTCACACGCTCGACGGCGTCGCCGCCGAAAGCGAAGGTGTCCGCTTCATCCGTCTCCGCGAAGATGCCCAGGTGGGCAAGGAAATCCTACGGCTACAAGCCTATCCGCGTTCCACAGCCGCCCTGAAAGGTGCCGATGTCAGTGGGGATCACAAGTACTTTAACCTCACGGAACACAATTCCACTATGCTGGTGGTCACCCTGGCACGCTCCCTAGAACGTCTGGTGGATCGGGATGTACCACGGAATCTGCTTAAGTTTCCGGATTCTCTGCGCCGGCAAACAGGAGAAACTCGAAGAGGTGGGTTTATCTACCAGCTTCTTTTGAAAATAACATAAAATTATTATAAAGACATAATCTTTCTTAAGAAATGTAACTACAATAGTACCCAAAACTTCTCCATTCCCACGATTTTTAGGGTAGCTACCTTTCAATCACCGTCTACATCGAAGATGTGAACGACAACGCACCGGAGTTTCTCAACGTACCCTACGTTGTGGATGTTGATGAAAACACCTCCGTGGAAAGCATTATCTTCGAGGGAGTCCAAGCCTTTGATCGCGACAAGCCGAATACCCCGAACTCCGAGGTGCACTTCAGCATGTCCACAGTACCAGAGCAACTCTCAGCTGATGGGAGTCCATACTTTGCCCTCAAAAGTCCCCATCGACCACTGCTCATCTTAAAGCGGGAACTGGACTTTGATAATGGCATCAGGCAATTTAAGCTGCCAATCTTCGCCTGGGATCGAGGAACTCCTGCCAATCAAGCGAATACCACGATCACAATCAACGTGCGGGATGTGGATGATCTGCCTCCTAAGTTCACTGAAGGGTGTATATCGTACCAGGATTAATGAGTTCTATCCGATGACGGGAGTCCCTATAAGGATACCCCTCTACTTCGCTCCGCCCATAATGGCCTTTGATCAGGATTCTCTGAATGCTTCTCTTGTATACGACATCATTTCGGGCAATGAGCGTCAACTTTTCCGGGTAAATCCCCACAATGGGGTAATGTATCTTCAAAAGGAAATCGATCTGGAGGAGGAGAGTCTGCCGGGAAATACATTTGTCCTTCAGCTGGAGGCACGGCAGAAAGATAATCCCCTCAAGAAAGCCTTAGCAAGGTGAGTTTAAAAATCGAAGAACTTCTTAAAACTTCGGCCATTCATATAATCCTTTACAGAATCGAAGTGGAAGTTCTGGATCTGAATGACAACGTTCCAGAGTTTGAGGCTGATTTCTACAACATTTCTATTGTGGAGAACCTGCCCACTGGCTTTAGTGTTCTACAGGTTAATGCCGTGGATCGAGATCAGGGCGAAAACTCAGAGTTCCTATATAACCTTGTAGAGACCAAAGATGCTACAGGTGCCTTTCGTATCGACTCCCGAACAGGTTGGATTACAGTGCGCGATGATCGGTTACTAGATCGAGAGCAAAGGAGATCCATTCAACTGAATGTGGAGGCTTTGGAAAGGAATCCTTCATATCTGGATGATAAGCACTTAAAGAAGCCGGGACCCAGCAAAGTTCAAGTGGAAATCACGCTGCTGGATACGAATGATAATACACCAAAGTTTGATCATGGAAATCTGTATGAGTTCAAGGTGCCCATCAATGCTCCTACGGGCTATGTGATTGGGAGAGTTATCGCCCACGATCCAGACGAGGGTCCCAATGGTAAACTGCTTTATGAACTGCAAAGGCCCAAAGGAAGTGGATATATTCCTTTCCGACTGGACAACAAAAATGGTACCATTTATGTGGGGGGTCCTCTAAGAAGAGGACGCATCGCTGTCTTCGTAGAGGCCAGTGATCAGCCAACCAATCCCTCAGAAAGGCGATTCTCTTTGGCAGTAATTACCATTGAAGTTTATGCCACCATCGATGACCAAGCCATAGATTTTGTGGGTGCTCCTTACGAGTTCTGGGTGGGTGCCAGTACCCCCTTGGGAAACTCAGTGGGGCAGGTGCGCACTACTCTGATCTACGATGGAGAGGACGAGATTATGTACGATCTGCTGCACACCTATTCCGAAGGTGTTCCATTTGCCATCGAAGAGCGATCGGGCATTATCACTGTCATTCGGGAGTTATCGGAGTTTAAACGTAAAGTTTACCATTTCGAAGCTGTGGCCAATTACGTAAGCTTATCTTGTTTTAGCTTTTGTGTTTTGTAAGTTGCCATAATTTGTATTTTTTTAGCTGTTTGCCAACTCTTCGCAATCATTGGTCATGTCGCGAAGTTCATCACCATTGACCACAATAGCCTCGCCAGCTGAACTCAGCGATGAAGGTGTACTCATCACCAACCTCACCATCCATATCGTTAACAAGCCAGAGCAAAAGGTGCCCTTGAGACCTGTCATAGAGTAAGTATCGTTTTCAACTTTCCAAAGACTTATTTGCAAAACTGAATTCATTTCTTTAGAAAGCTCAAAGGGTGTTGCTATATAATTTGAATATGAATGAAATAGTATAAAGATAAAAACCAATTAATCACTCAGTTCATATTCATTAATAATAATATTATAATCATTATATATGATATCCATTAATAAACTCATAATCTGATCTCATTAATTTCAGGGAGATCAACATGAACGTGATCAACTTCCATGTGGAGGAAAACGTTGTTGGTGGCATTATTGGTCAATTGCTCTACAAGAATGGCATCAATCTGGTTAACAACGAACTGGGAACATTCCGTGAAATGCCAGCTGAGGGAACTGGACGTAATCTCACCATGGGTAGCAGATTCCGTAGCCGCAACAGAAGTCGCAGTTCCAAGTCAAAGCGTCGTTTGCCAAGACGTCTCGTGGGAGATACGAATATAAAACTTCGTTACATCATAGCCAACCAGCAGGAGGTGGTGAACAAGATCTCCATCACGGAGGATGGAACTCTACTCACCTTGATCGGATTGGATCGTGAGCAGCAACCCAGCTATGAGCTAACTGTGATTGTGGAGTACAGCACGGGACTGGTGAGTGGAGCCGGGATTTACCAGGTGAACATCAAGGTGGATGATGTCAACGATAATGCTCCCAAGTTCAATGCCCTCACCTATGTGGGTTTGATCAATGAAAACTGTGCCGTGGGCACGGAGCTATCGATGAACCACGCGATACTCATCCAGGATGCTGATGAGGCAGCCAATGCAGAGTTCAGAGTGCAACTCCAAGGAGATTATAGCGAAGAGTTTAGCATAGAATATGTGAATGGTAGCTCCTTCGGAAATACTACTCAACATAAAATGCCACCCACAACGGGAGCATTCAACATCTTCAACCTCACGGATCAGTGGAACGATGAGTTCAAGTACCAGGAGCTGCACACCACCTTTATGCAGACGAACTTTAAGCTCAGCTCGGGTCCATATTTCCGTGTCATATACTCCGGGAAAAGAGGCTTGGATCGTGAGAAACAGCAGCTGTACAATCTGAAGATAATAGCCTCCGATACTGGTGGTCTCTCGGGATATGCCCATCTTACTGTTCTGGTCGCAGATGTTAATGACAATGCTCCGATGTTTGAACGCATTTCGGTGTTTAAGGATTCGCGTTTGGAGATCCGTGAGTACACCACCGACATGGAGATTTACTTTGTAGAGAGCTCAAACAGCTTGACAGCACCTCAGGCAACGGCAGCCATGATGCTAGCGCCACCTCCTTATCATATTCCTGGATCACCAAGATTTAACCACGATCGTGAGAGATCAGTGGGAGCAGGATTGGGTGTGGTAGCTAGAGCGAAGTCACGCCGTAGAATGGTGCGTGCCGTGTCAATTAAGTGTCCTCTGTTTGCCATCTACGAAGACACTCCTGTGGGTACGAAAATCCTTCAACTGAGCGCCAGTGATGAAGATTACGGAAAGAATGCCCAGCTGCACTATGAACTCCACGGAGAACAGGTGGAGCGGACACCCGGAATGCCCATGTTGCGAGTTCAAGGAGTTCGATATTTCACAATCGACAAACTCAGTGGAGAGCTATCGGTCAACTATCCACTTTCGGCCAACATCGAGATTTGGTTAAATCTAACAGTGACTGATATAGATGGTCTTAAGGACTCCGCTTGCCTGCGATTCACTGTGATGGATGTTAATAATCATGCTCCGACTTTCAAGAAGTCCTGGTACAGCTTCGATACTGCAGAAGGGGATTATAAAGACAGCGTCCTGGGGCAACTGACCGCTATTGACATGGACTTTGGCGAGAATGCCAATATTACGTATACGCTCAGTGATTCGCACCTACCATTTACCATTAAACCAGCCTCTGGAGTCCTGAAGATCAAATGGACAGCTCGACCGAGAACTTAAGGACAAGTACAACTTCCAAGTGATAGCCACAGATAATGCACCTATCATGCAGCGAATGTCTAGCAGTGTGGAGGTGGAAGTTAATGTCCTGGACATCAACGATAATCGACCGGAGTTTATTGGTTATGATGATCAGACCAAGGCGGTCAAGTTTATCCCGAGTGTGGCGGATCGAACCATGATGTTGCCGGTGTACAAAGCTTATCTCGATCGAAGTACTCAACCGGGAACATTTGTGAGGCAACTTACGGCCATTGATAAAGATAATGTTGGCAATGGCAATGGTCTGGTGTTGTACTCCATTCGTCACCAGGAAATGCAGGCTCCGCTATTCCAAATCGACTCCCGGGATGGTACCATCTCTACGATATCCCGTATCAATGGCTATAATGACTATGAACATTTGAATGTTTCTGTCATAGCCTCTGATGTGGGCAGTCCAACGTTATCAGCCACAGCTATTGTGATAGTCAATCTGCAGGGACAGGCAGTTACGGAACCTCCGAAGTCCACCCCCAAGCCAGAACCACCTGCAAATGTAACCGTTTTCCAACATGCCTACTATGAAGTTAAAGCTCACGGAGAACAATGAAGCACCCATCGAGGTTGATGCGGTTAAATCTGAGCTCTGGTCTCAATCCGGAGAACTACCGGTGGTCACTGTGGCTGGAGGAGGGCTTAGACGAAACGGATGCTCATCCGCCCTTTGAATATGATGCAAAGAATATGCTGTTGTATGCTCTTAAACCCTTTGACAGGGAGCACATATCGCGGTATCAATTAAGAATACGAGCAGATCGGTTGAGTCGGGAAGCCAGAAATTATGCCAGGGTCTCATATCCAGTAGTGGATGAACGAATAGAAGGTCTATCCCTGAATGAGTGTCGAATACTTGTCCACATAGCGGATGAAAACGATAATGCACCTAAGTTCCGAGGAAATGGACAGCCGATTGTAGCAGTTCTGCCGCAGAGTGCCAGCTTTGGCTACCCTGTAACCCGAGTGGTGGCCAACGATTTGGATGAGGGACTAAATGCGGAGATAAGCTATCGATTGCTGAACGAGCCCACTCGCCTTTTTGGCATCGATGAGGTAACGGGTAATATTCGACTTTTGGGTGATCTCTCCCACGACGAACGCATCTACGGTTTCGATGTGAAGGCCACGGATCGAATGGGTGCCGATGATGGACGGAGTGGTATCGTTAACGTCTTTGTGTACATCATCGATGAGAGAAAGCAGGTCCGCTTGGTGGTGGCTGGAATGCCCGTCGAGGTGGAACGTCGCATTGAAGGACTGATGGAGGCGCTCAGTGATGCCATTGGCAAGGATGTGCGCGTTAGATTGTTGGAGCCATATTCTGGAGGACTTGAAGCGGCGTAAGTTATGTTCTTTAAGTTATTTCATATCCAAGTTTACACGTCCTTCAATTTAATTTTAACATATAACTTTTTGTAGAAACCTTCTTTACCAAAGTCTTTAGTGAAACTGATTTAAATGGCAAAGAAAACTTTGTGGAAAAGTCAACTGCATATCAGCCCCATAAATTCTTAACTTTAAACTCCAATCTCTCACATAAATTTGAATAAAATGTGCAGTCTGACCGCATTACATAAGCTAATTGGCCATTAGTTGCAATCAAAACACCCCAGCATCATCTAACAGGTTCTTCTTCTCTATCCATTTGCAGCACCAATGCCTACATCTATGCCGTCGATCCGCACACGAATTCCATTATGGAAATGGAGCAACTGCAGGAGTAAGTTTTTCCTCTTCCAACCGATTCCCTTCCTTGCCTCTGGCTGCAACGAAAATCAATTGACCCAGAACTGTCATGCGGATTAATGGTCTTGAATGTCTTCTTTCAGCGCCCTGGCTGGCCTCCAACTGGATGCACTGCAGTTACAGCAGCAAAAGCTCGACGGCGGCAAACCCATGCCGCGCATTATCGAACTGGCTGAATTCGGACAGTCGGCCCGTCCCACACACGCCTCCGCATCCAGTTTTATGGGAGGATTTGAGTTCGTGACAATGGTTCTACTAACGCTGGTCAGCCTGGGGGCACTGATGGCCGCTTGCTGCTACCTATGCATGCGCCAAAAACGGTATGAATGAGATGCACTAGCGTATCAGATCATACAAGTGTGCAACTGCAACCGAAAGACTGCTTACTGGGCGCTCTAATGTAGCTCATAGATGCATTTTATGTTAGCCATAGTTTTAGCTTAAGCTAAAGGCCCCATAATAAATCTTAAGTCAATTGCAAATGTTGTTGTTGCTGTTGCTGTTGCTGCTGCTGCTAATGGCCATGGTCATGGCCATGGCAAATGTGATTGATATGTTTTTAAGCCTCTGAATAAACCGGCTGGCATTGGGCCTCTCCTGTCCGATTAAATTATAACGGTAAAAAGCAACAAACACAACATCAGTTGCAACAATGCGGCAATAGCAACATCAGGCAATTAGACGAAGATCATGTGACATCTCGGCAACTACATCCCAAATGAGAATGCCAATCAAATCGCCTTTCATCTGTTCATCTGCTAGACTCATCCTGCACAGAAAAAAAATAATCATTTCTTTTTTATGATGTCAATATCATTTACAGGGATAGAAACTGAGAACAGTCTTATCAAAAATTTAATATGAATAATATAAATTCATTTTCGTTTCATTTTTATCACTAAATAGTCCCAGATATTTAAAAAGGCAACATTTCGTCTTTTTTTTTTTTGTATTTCTAACATTTTTTGAGTTAGTCAAAGCATTTAAGTTTTTCCCCATATCTCATCGCAGACGTCTCTGGTCTCAACGTGATTTTTCCTCCTCGGATGCCGGTCTCACCTATACCATAGCAGGCATCGGATCTCCTCGTGGTCAGAAGCAGCGGCGCCAGAGGCAGCAGCGCCATACACAGCGTTGTAGTAAGGGCAGCAGCACTGGCAGCCAGCGGCCCACCAGTGCCTTTATGCCAGAGTCCGTCTGCTCCTCGGCGCAAACCCAATCGACGGCCACTGCCACCGAGAAATTGGAGCAGCAGTTGCACCATCATCACCAGCAACAGGCGTTGGCCACGCAGCAGCAACATCATCAGTACCTGAACGAGTAAGTGAATGGCCGTGTCCAGTCAAACGTGTTTCCATTCTGGACAGTAACAAATCATCCTCAAATAGGCAACAACGACAGCAGCAGCGTGAATACATTGACGTGCCTCTTCCCAAATCCATTGCCAAGGCAGCAGCAGCTGCGTCAAATGGCGGCGATGGAAATGTGGGCGCCGGGAGCACTCCGTTTGTGTTAAAGTACAATGCCTGCCAGCCGGTGAGCAATCTGTAAGTGCAACATATTGTTATTGATATAAATGCCACATAACATTTTTAGCTAACATGTGCATTTGTTATGCAAAATGTTTACAACAGTCGTAATATTGCTATTTAATTATTAATTTCTTATTTTCTACTTAGAAACAATTATGAAACATCGCTTTTCTCACTCCATTCCACGGGCCAGGACTCTGGGGTGGAGTTCCTGAGCAGTCGCGAACTGTACGAGACCTCACCAGATTCCTTTCAACACGGTGGCTCCAAACGCGGCATCAAGCCCGAAGTACTCTGCCCCAGGCATGCCAAGGCCCACTTGGAGCTGCGCCAGCCTCATCCAAATACAGACAGCAGGTGAGCAAAGATACAACGTTTATATTATGAATTTTCTAATAACTTGAAAATCCATTTCAATAGTGACACTTACGAGGACTCGCTGAAGACTGATGAGCCACTGGTGGCCCACAACTGTCGCAGTGCAAACTGCGAGCACCGCCAGCATCAGCAGGTAACCAACCAGCATCCGCATTACCAGAATACGCGGTTCGAGAAACGCTCCTGTGTGCGACACTCCTTCTCCGGGGTCAAGGATGACCTTATGCAGCAGTCGCCGCAGATATCTCTGCGCCCCCGGGGTCATGCCCTCCGGAACTCGATGAACGACCTAGAGCAGAGGTTGCACAACCTGGAACAGTCGTTCCGTCGCCCTCTCGAATTTAGCAAATCGAATTCATTGTTTTAGTTTTCCTTAGCTAGACAGAAACGCAGTGCAATTTTTAGTTTAATTAGCTTAGCTTAGTTGTTAAGAAACAAGTGCAATAAATCTTAGAGTTTTAAAGATCAAAAGTCGAAGCATGTGACTATTACAATTCATACTTCTGATTTCATTAAAATGATTTTAAGTCTTGGAATATCGCTATTATCGGAGCTAAAACCGTTATCAGAAACAAATCAAATTGGGAACCATAAAAAGATCTAACTCCAGCAGTTTGGCTAACATCCCAAGTTTGTAACGATATATTGAACTACGACATATCGATTGTCAGCAAAGGCGCGCATACAAACAATTTTGTATTTTACTTATACATTTTTAAATTCTTATGGATATCACTTCTGGCTTAATAGCTACCGCCTTTAATCATGAAATAATCCATTTATTTGGTTGCTTTAAGTTATTTTCTTGTCAATATTTTTTTGAAAGACTTTTTATCTTTTTCATGGAGATGCAAAACCTGTTCTATCGATACTATCGTAAGCCCTGGGCAATATGGATTTTTTAGAGGACTAGCAAAGTTGGTCACCATATGGTAACACTGATAAAAATAAAACATATAAACTCCAATTACATCTCCTCTGGCCGAGCGCTATAAAAACACATTTACACTTGCCAATTCTGAAGATCCGAATATCCAGGGGCGACTGGTAAATACAGCTTGACCGCCGGTGGATGTTGACAAATCAGAGGAGTTGGAGTTAAAAGTCCAAGGAAACAGACCGCAACCCACTTGCCAAACTGAGCCTAGCAGAGGAGGAAGAGCCGCCATGAATGCCCTGCGGCAGTTCTACCTAGAGATCCCTGTGGTCACACGGGCGTATACCACGGTCTGCGTTCTGACTACTCTAGCGGTCGTAAGTGTCCATCTCGGATTAAGTTCTTTACCGTGGGTGACGTGTACCTCTATAATCAGCGAACTTGCAAACTTTCTAGCACCTGGACCTAGTGTCACCGCTGCAGCTCTACTTCAATCCCACGCTGATTGTGCGCAAGTTCCAGATCTGGCGCCTGGCCACCACATTCCTGTACTTTGGAACCATTGGAATTAGTTTCTTTTTCAATATGGTGTTTACATATCGCTATTGCCGCATGCTAGAAGACGGCTCTTTCCGCGGACGTAGCTCTGACTTTGTCATGATGTTTATCTTTGGCGGAGTGCTGATGACCTTCTTCGGGATCTTTGTTAACCTGTTGTTCCTGGGCCAGGCATTCACGCTGATGCTGGTCTATGTGTGGTCACGCCGCAATCCACTGGTGCCCATGAATTTCTTCGGCGTGCTTAATTTTCAGGCACCCTACCTGCCGTGGGTGCTTCTCTGCTGCTCCATGATCCTGGGGAACACTGTGTGGTTGGATGTCATTGGCATGGGTGTTGGCCACATATACTACGTGCTGGAGGATGTTTATCCCACACTCTCCAATGGTTATAGACTGATTAAAACCCCCTACTTTCTGTGAGTCACCCTTTGAATCGAATGCTATATTTTAAATAATACATTTTTTATTTAGGAAACGTCTTTTTAATGAGCACATCGAGCGCAACTACCAAGCATCAGCCGAGGATCGTCCCGGCGGCTTTCCCTGGGGCGGCGAAGGCCAGCCACTGCTGCCGGAGGAGAATGTGAATGCAGCTGGCGGTCAGGAACAACAGCTTGCGGATCCAGCGCATCCGCCTGCAGCGGCGCCGCAATAACAAATCTAGAAAACTTACTTGTTAAAACGTTCTTCTGTTCAAAACGACGACGACGACGATGACAGCAATGTTGTGTACCCCTCCGCCACCTTCCGTTTGGTGATTGGTGTAATTAGGCGTAAAGTATTGAGAGATAGGCGTGCAATAGTTAGCCAAAGTTGGTGCAGAGCGTGTGTGTATGTCATTTATTGGTTTGTTTTCTGATGCAGAACCCAATTTCCACGCGAGATGTTCTTAAAATTTTAAATTTACCCCAAGGGATGCATTCACGACAGATTGAACCTATACTGCACATGTGATTATATATACAAAACATGCTACAAATAAACCATGATGTAAAAAGCCCTCTTGGCAGTTTTAGAAACCTTGACGTCGCTTTTTGGGATTTTTTAATGGCATAGGTGAACCAATTAACTTAGCTGTGCGACTTGCATTTTTTAGTTCTAAAAATATTATTCAAACAGGAAAATTACGGCTAATTTTATCATGTAACCTCTTTGTAAAATGTTCACCGAAACCGATTAATTACACTTGTAAATAGTACTTAAATAAATATCTCTTTAAGTTGATGGTAACTATATAAGAACAGTAACTGTTGTTGCTCAAACGTAACCAAAAGTGATTTAGATTTACTTATTAAAAATGTAAGAAACATGAGGAAGAATCCGTAACACACAATTCAAACTCGCGCCAAATTTATTTATAAGGTTGCCATGTATCAAAATGTGTTGCTTCAATTGAGACCTGCTTACGGCGTTAGCCAACACTAGAAGCCACGATATTTTTATTTATTCGTGTTCCTCTCATATTTGTTTTTTAGCCGGCTAGAACAGACGGATAGTATTAGAATGTTGTATAGGAACTAAACTCAGGATGTCAAGAATTGTGATGAACCAACTGTCCCACCCGCAGCGCGTCCGGCTGCTGTACAAAACTATTCTAAGATTGCATCGAGGTGAGATTAACAACTATATATCCTATAAATACCATCCATTTCAACTGTTACTTTAAATTAAATAGGACTTCCGGCGGAACTGCGTGCTCTAGGTGATAACTATGTGCGGGACGAGTTCCGGCGCCACCTCAAATGCAATCCCATGGAAGCACAGCTCTTTATGACCGAATGGGCTGTAAGATTTACGTAATTAAAGAAAGGTGCTTTTCTAAAGAATTCCGTCATTTTAGCGTTATGCCTCCACGATCACCCAACAACTAGGAATACGAGGTAAACCCAAGGGGGAGCTGGGCGAACAGATCGACCCTCAGGCCGTGGAAATGCTTAAGGACGACCAGGTGGTCCAATTATATGAGCTAATGCTGGCGGCCAAGGGATTAGAAGATGTGCAAGGCAAATAAATTATATGATTACTTTATTCTGACTGTTTTTCCAAGATCTTGTACTCAAATTTGATGCCATTTTCCTCTTGCACACCTAGTGGTACATCGGAGGTGGGAGCCACCTCTCTGAAACTGTTTGGGATTTCGGGAAAAAATGTATCGCACTCGAACTGCTGGTGAATTTTGGTAACGTAAAGGCGATGGCATCTTGTTGAGGCCATCGCTTCCTTATAAACACCACTGCCGCCCACGATCCAAACGTTTTCCACATCGTTTTTATCCTCAATTACCTTCATAGCTTCCTCGAGACTAGAACACAAGAGAACTCCTTCAGGCAGTTTCTCCTGTTGGAGTGTGGTGCTTAGCACTATGTTCAGGCGATCGGGAAGGGGTCTCTTGCTTTCCGGGATTCCAAAGAAGGTTTTTCTGCCCATCACAACCGCATTGTGTTTGGCTGGATCACTTGTACGCTTGGTGGTGCGGCTAAAGTACTTCAGTTCTGATCTGCAGGAAAGAGATCCTTAGCACTCTTTGATATATTCGAGACTAACTTACTTAATGTGCCAGGGAAGATCGCCTTTGATGCCGATTCCGAAATTTTCACAAAATGCCACTATTAAATTAAAGCGCTTCATATTTAAGCCTTGCTAAAAATATAGTTAAATATATATGTTCTAAGCTAGCAAATAAAACAGCTGATCGAGCCTGCGCGATTGCAATCGAAGTTATCGCCATTCACGTTCAGGGACATTAACGTAACGGTTCTGGTTCGGATCGCAGTTTGGTTTTGCCCCAATCTTCCGAACAAAAATATTTCCAAACGAATACTTCTTAACGTGTCGTATATTTATTGTTAAATTGCTCCACTTTTATTATACAATTTTTATAGAAAGTGTATTCCAACATGAGATCAAGTTTCGAGATTAAATTAAAATGAAGTCCAAAAAGCTTCTTTCGTCAAAACATTCGATGCAAATGAATGAAAATTCTTGACTTTCAATTTTCCTAAGCAGTAGCTCTGGATATTGTAGTTCTGACGATCCTCACTAAATCTCTTTTAAAAATATTTATGTACGTTATATATTTGCTTTTAGTTAGCATCCTGGTTTATTAAAAATATACAATTCCAAAATATTACTCTGGTCCCTCCAATAGCCAGTAGGTCTCCATCTCACCCTTTCCCTTGACCTTCACAAATCCACGAGCTTCTACCTTGTAACCCACCTTCCTCACCTTGAGGGCGGTATAGTTTGATAACTGGATCATCCAAGGATCGCTGCTGCTCTCCATTCTGGAGGCTGTGTTAACAGTGTCCCCAAACAAGCAATATCGGGGAACCTTCATACCAACCACTCCAGCCACTACGGGTCCTGAATTAATGCCCACCCGAATGGCTACTCCAGGCAGGGCATGGGCCTTGACCTTTTTCATCACCCTCAAGGCTAGATCGCAAGCGTGCTCCGCGTGGAGGGGATTCACATCAGGAGCTCCCGAAACCGCCATGTAAACCATGCCCACGGTCTCCACTTTGTACACAAATGGGGAAATAATCTCCTCGTCTAAAGCTGAGAAAACCTTGTTCAGGGTAGTCACCGCCTGCATGGCATCCTGAATGTTATTGGATCCGCTGTCGTACACATTCAGCACTTCAATGAAGATGACAGAAACCTCCTCAAAACTCTGGCAGACGTGCTCCTCGCTCTTTCTCATTCGCTCCGCTATTGGACGTGGTATCATAGAGTATAGAAGTTCATCCCCCTGCCGTTTCCAGGAATCAGCCAGTTCCAAGGACTTCTCTAGCTCATCCGATCGCTGCTCCTCCTTTTCAAACATTATCTCCAGCTTGGAGCAATGCTGCCATCCAGCCATCACCAGTTCTCGACTCAGTCCATGTGGATTTAGATCATTCAGATAGAGACCTATCCCGTGGAGCTCATCTAGATTTTCGATTAGAGGACTACAGAGAAAGATCAGCGAGTCCACGTCTTTTATGTAGAACATCTGGCCCTTCAACAGAATAGATCGGAGTCCCACGGAGTGTCGTCTCTGACCCGTGGCAGGATCGATTTCGTCCTTAGAGGTGGTGGCAGCAGCTGCTTCTTCCTTCGCGTTCTCCACACTGAACTCCTTGGCACTGGCCAAAGCCATGGCCTGAGCTTCATTTAAGCTGCTAGCCTCATCGAAGTTTTCAAAGTCAAAATTTAAGGCCGCATCGTAGGCGGCTCGGTTGTGACCCGTGCGGATGAGTTCGAACTCGAAAAGTACCGTCCGCATCTGGAGAATGGTCTCCCATTCGATTTGAGTATCCTTGGGTCTCCGGCACTTAAACCGTTCCATTATATGACTGCCAATGAAGCTTTTTGGGTTCACGCCAGGATTATGCAAGATCCATGTCTCTACAATCTTCTCGCCCGCGAGTGTGATTTTCATGTCGTGATCCAGCACAATGGTGAAGGGAAACAGCTCCAGAAACACATTCAGATCTACCGACGGCATCTTGAGCTGGGAAGGATGGGCAATAACATTCACCCGCTTGGCCATATAATCGCGATTATCAAAGTCCAATCGATACTTGACAATCACTGTCAAAGGTCCATCCGTAAGCTTGATGGGACCCGCTGTCCCTCCGCATATGTCATTCTGGCTCTCGAGGACATAGGCAGTCATGTCCAGACCGTAAAACTCCTTGGCCACCTCTGTCATCTGGCCAATCAGGTACTTTGACATCCCAGTTCGACCACTGCGGTACAGAATCACAGCTCCATCGTCATCCATATTAGTCAACTGCATGCTGGGCGACTTCATCTTGGGATAGGTGAAGCGCATCTGTACATGGATATTGTCGATGGACTGCAGGAAATCGCAGAAATACCTTCCCGTGGAGCGGATCATCTTATCGTAACCGAAGTTACTGAAGAATCTAACGAAACAGCGTCCAAAGAAGTTCATACAGAAGTCAAAGGACTCGCCCGTGCTGGCTGAGAGGGCTGCTGCAAAGTCCGGCATTAGCTTGTCCGGATAGATCTGGTGCGTCTTAAAGCTCTGGTGCTTGCAGTCGACTATCTGGCAGACCTTCCTCCAGGTGTCCATTCCATACTCCTGCTGAATGTAATGCTGCACGCTTTCGTACAGCATTCCGTACATGGTGACGGTGTGCTTGGATGTCTGCGGTCTGTTTAGTCCTGTCTATCGTCCAAATTGCTTTCGCAAAAGTTTTTTCTGTAACGACCCAAAGTTGGCAGGCACAAAATTAGGATGAGGGCAAAAAAAGTTTTTCCATCGCTCACAGCTGGTAATTAGGTAAACTGTTTTCGTACCCCGGAGGATTAAAGTCAATTTAGTTGTGTTGGGTCCGGGATTAGACCAAGAAACTCATACATTACTCAAGTGATTGATGATATACAGAATGTGGTCCTAAATGAACTTCTTAATAATAGCTTGTTAAATTGAAAGTTTTTCTAGTAAAGAAATCTATTAAATATTTCAATATAAATTAGTTACTCAAAAATTTGCTTTTAACTCTGTCTATTTCGCCTCGCTTATAACATCAACTTAGGCCGTCAAAAGTTAATGTAAATTATATGCAAAAAGTAAATAAAACCGGGTTACATATGCCTGAACCGTCAAGAGATTTCTTGTTATCTAGCTTTCAACAGCACTCAAGAAAAGTCTGCTTTTCCTACATATCATTTGATTTATTGCCCCCGACAGTTTAATTTGAGTTCATGTGGCAGACCCAGGCAGAGAATCCTCTGACTCCTCTCCTCAATCTCCTTTAAGCTTGTCACGTTCCTGGCAAAAGGAACATAGCTCATTGTACTCTTGACGTATTTCCTTTTGCTGTTGCCGGTAATTCGCTGGCGGTAATGCCTGCTTTTCAATGTTTTCCCACAAAGACTAACTAACTGAGCCATAAATTCTCAAACAGCTTTCTGGAGTTTGGGTGTATTTAATTTTGACCAAAAACATGCAAATTTCTGTCAAACTGAAGGTCGTAAAAAGTAGATAACAATGCTATTGTTAGTGTGGTTAGAGGAAATGGTTGCCTTTTGATTAATGTTCAGAGAATGTAAACTGTCAAATAGAATATAAATGGCAAATACTTGACTTCCTTTTGTTCATAGTAATAACACGATTAAATCGGTCATTATTTATGTTCTTCTAGGAAATGTTCCTCTATGATTAATATTGGCTATGATGGTAGCTATAATATATTAATTGATTAAAACACCGTGGAGATATTTAAAATTGTAGTAGTGACAGCAATTAAAAGTATTTAACTCAAAATTTTTCTTTCTATTTGTTTTGCATAATTTGTTCTATGAATTCCTTATCACTGTTCTTTTTCTGAATTTATAAGAAATCTTTTTGATTTCCCTTTTAATGGTATTTGATTGTGAGACCGTGAAATTAGGTTATTACGGTTATATCCTCAAGTAACCCGCTTACTTTATATTGCTTTCCGCCTCGTTCCAGTCCACTAACTCAACCGCATGAACTTTTCCAGCATCGAATCGTGCCTCTTAAAGAGTTTTAATTTCATCCACGCGGCATTTGCTCTTCGCTTATTTATAATTTAAGGAAGGCGTATGCCAGCACACACAATTGCACACACACAGCTTCCCGGGATGCGTAAACTCCGGTATATATACACGCACTTTTCGGTAGCTCTCACTTTTCCGGACTCCGTGTTGCGTCGTCGGCAGTTGCTATTGTTACACTAAATTTGTTTTGCCGCCTATCGCTGCTTCCTTGGCTTCTGGCTGTCTGATTTGTTTCATGATTTCCTCTGACGAGCTTCGTGGGTCTGTCGGTTCTGTTTGGTTCTGTCGGTTCCGTGGACTCCGTTGAGCTTTCCTTTTTAGCTGGGACGATGTTGTTCGAATGAAGCGTGCTTCTTTGGCGGTCCGGCCTTTTATAGCCCACCCACAGACGAGTTGCAGTGTTGAGCCATATTTCCGGCCCACTTAGGACCTACGTGCCTGCGCCTCGACACGCACTTCTATGTTTGACCATCGTGATCATCATCATCATCATCTTTGTTGTCATTATAGCCAGGAACGTCGGCAGTCAATGCTCTTTGCCTCAATTGCCACTTTCTCTCCTTTCGATATAGTATCAACATTGACACACAACCGAAGGAGTCATTTTTCTCTCGTTCATTCCATTTATGGCCCTCACTCCCTCATATCGTTGTGGGTCCTGGCATTCCGTGCAAAGTATTGTCCTTTGGGTCTTCCGACTTCGCCAGGGATGAATAACGAGAAGTCTTCAAATGAGGAGAAGAAATATCTTCAATAAAATTAATAACAACAATAATGATTTTAAACTTAAAAGTAATCGTTTTTATTAATATCTTCTTTATTATAAAGTAGTTTATCTTATATAACTTTATTTTGGTATATTTTAAAATCTCTTTTAATCGAATTTAAATTATCATAAATACTTCCAATATGTTTCCCAAGGCCCTGGAACATTTAAAACAGTCTGTCAAATGTATCATTGTTGTAGAGTTGTTCGCTTTTCCATTTCCCTTTTTCCCAGATGTAGGGATGGCTTTGGGGCATCTGTACTTAATGCCTTTTCATTTTCACGCATACCTCTGAATTATATATATGTTTGCTTGAGTCCTGGCCCTTATTTGATGTGTTGTTTTAAAGCAATTTAAAGAGGATTTCACAGCATCGAACAAAAAGCCTCCGTTCGTCCCACTTAACCGAAACGGATTTTCAGGAAAGCCCATTAAATAAACGTTGACAATTTTATGGGCAGTGCATGAATCGGCCAAAAAGGACGATAATATGCCTGGTCGAATAAACGAAGGAGATATTTTGGGCTCACTTAAAAGCCTCTCAAAATGCCATTAATTACAGAAGCGACAGACGAGCTTACACAAAAACTACGAAAATATCCTGTATTAACTTGTGGTTCTGCCAGGAAGTAAACTTAATTAGTGTGGTAATAATAATTACACAGAAAAAATATGAATACATCAATAAAGCCCTTCTTTGAAGTACAAAGTTAATGCTTTTAGTATTAAAATTTATTTTTCCCAGTGTGATTATTATCAATATTGCACCGGAATTAATTGCCCAACGTCCAGACATCTGAGCTGCTCTTTCTCAGTACACGCAGAGTGACTTAATTTAATTCCTATAAGGAACAGGAGAAAGGACACTACCCAACTCTACCAGAGGTTTGAAAGGACTTATGATGGTCCTTCGTGGGTGGCGTAGATGATGGTGTGCAAAGTGACACGCAAACCGCCCATAAAAGTTATTAAAAATGGATTTTCGGAAATGGGGGTTGTCTCTTGAAAATGACGAAGGCGGGTTGTGTAATTGCTCTAGCAGGATGGGGAAATATTACAGAAACTTTAGCTCTTACGGGTAAGCGAAATATTTGTCCAAATTCATAACAATGTTTCTATTTATCAAGATGGTTTTTATAAACAAACTTTACAAATAAATTCATCTAAAAAAGTTGGGGCTATCAATACAATGGTTTAGCTTTACGATAAAGACATTTTCTTAACTTTTTTCCGTTTCTGAAGTCAATAGAATTATACGGAATTTACTTAAAGAAAATTACCATTTTGTATTAATCTACTATTAAATTTTGAAAGTATTTTGAAACACAGCTTTCCAAGCAATAGTTGCTGTACGTTAGTGCTAAATAATATTCTATTCTAAAATATTTTCCCCAAACTTATAAAACAATTCGGAAAGAGGTAAATTCTCTTTTATTGCAACGAATTACAAAAGCCTCAGGTGTGGTACATTCTTTCAGTGCATGGTGCCTAACATCAAGATGCTTTAAATGTTCTATATTTTTAACCCTCAGGTCCCTCCAGCAGCCAATAGGTCTCCATCTCGCCCTTGCCTTTGACCTTGACGGTGCCTCGAGATTCTACTTTATAGCCAACTTGCTGTACTTTTTCCCCGGTGTACTTCGATAGCTGGATCTTCCAGGGGTCGCTGCTGCTCTCCATTCGTGAGGCGGTGTTAACGGTGTCCCCAAACAGACAATATCTGGGTACCTTTTGGCCTACGACTCCGGCCACAACGGGTCCTGAATTGATGCCCACTCGAATGGCCACATCACCCATATTGTGGGCCTTGAACTTCTTCATTACCCTCAAAGCCAAATCGCAAGCATGCTGGGCATGAAGGGGATTCACATCAGGAGCACCCGATACCGCCATGTATACCATTCCAACGGTTTCCACTTTATAAACAAATGGCGAGATGATCTCCTCGTCCAGGGCCGAAAAGACCTTGTTCAATGTGTTCACAGCCTGCATAGCTCCTTGAATACTATTCAGGCCTTCATCATAAACGTTCATTACCTCCAGGAAGATGACAGATACTTCTTCGAAGCTCTGACAGACCTGTTCCTGGCTGAGCCGCATTCTTTCTGCAATGGGTCGCGGAATCATTGAGTATAGGAGTTCATCACCCTGTCGTTTCCAAGAATCGGCCAGTTCCAGAGACTTTTCTAACTCATCAGAGCGCTGCTCTTCTTTTTCGAACATAATCTCCAGCTTAGAGCAATGCTGCCATCCGGCCATGACCAACTCTCGGCTCAGTCCATGTGGATTGAGATCATTTAGGTATAGACCTATTCCGTGCAGCTCATCCAGATTTTCGATTAGAGGACTGCAGAGAAAGATCAGTGAGTCCACATCCTTGATATAGAACATCTGACCCTTCAACAAGATAGACCGCAGGCCCTGGGAAGATCTACGTTCTCCTGTGGCCGGGTCAATCTCGTCCTCTCCCGAAGCTTCATCTGCGTCCACCGGATGGGCTTCATTGAACTCCTTCGCCTTGGCTAGCGCCATCGTCTGCGCCTCATTTAAATCCATCTCATCGTAGTTCTCAAAGTCCATATTCAAAACGGCATCGTAAGCAGCTCGGTTGTGTCCTGTGCGGATAAGTTCGAACTCGAAGAGCACCGCTCTCATCTGGATGAGGGTATCCCAGTCGATAGCGGTGTCTTTCGGACGACGGCAGTGAAAGAGGTCCATGACGTGGGTACCAATGAAGCCCTTTGGATTGGCTCCAGGATTGTGCATAATCCACGTCTCCACAATCTTCTCTCCGGCATGAGTGATTTTCATATCGTGGTTCAACACAAAAGTGAAGGGGAAAAGGTCAAGGAACACATCAAGTTTTACTGTGGGCATTTTTAACTGTGAAGGATGTGCCTCCGTATTGACGCGCTTGGCCATGTACTCCCGGTTATCGAAGTCCAATCGATACCTAACAATTACGGTCAGTGGTCCTTCGGTTAACTTGATGGGACCAGCAGTTCCTCCGCTGATGTCGTTCTGGCTCTCAATCACGTAGGCCTTAATCTCCAGGCCATAAAACTCCCGAGCCACCTCCGTCATCTGGCCAATTAAGTATTTGGACATGCCTGTCCGACTGCTCCTATACAGAATCACAGCTCCGTTGTCATCCATATTAGTCAACTGCATGCTGGGTGACTTCATCTTGGGGTAGGTAAACCGCATAATCAGATGGATGTTGTCAATGGACTGCAGGAAGTCACAGAAATAACGTCCCGTAGAGCGGATCATCTTGTCGTAGCCAAAATTGCTGAAGAACCGAACAAAACACCGCCCAAAGAAGTTCATGCAGAAGTCGAAGGACTCGCCTGTGCAAGCGGACAAAGCCTCGGCGATGTCCGGCATCAACTTATCCGGATAGATCTGGTGAGTCTTAAAGCTGTTGTGCTTGCAGTCGATAATGTGGCACACCTTCTTCCATATATCCACGCCATACTCCTCCTGCACATAGTGCTGCACACTCTCGTAAAGCATTCCATACATAGTTAAAAATTCTGAAAGTACAAATTTTGATATATATAATAAAAAAATATAAGAATAAACTGGGACTTAAGTTTTTATTATAATTAGTTTACTAAATATATATTGGTTTTCAGGTATTGCTCGAGCTTAAGAATGAGTTTCTGGCTTTGAAATAAACGAAAATTTTTAGAGCAGAAACTGTTAGTGGGATAATCTTATGGAGGATTTGGGCAGCGTTACGATCAAGCTATGAATTAAAAACCCATTGTAGCCATTTTTCGAAATTTAAAAGAATTTTTACCATTTAGTTTAAAAAGTTCACTTACCTTATTCAACAGGTCTCAGCGGTGTTTTAAATTTCCTTTTTAATATTCACTGGAAGATTAGGCAGCTTGTTATATTCCTTTTTTGCTTTTGTGTTATGTCAGTTTAAGTTTGTAATATTCCGGGGTTAATTTATTTATAACTCCATGCAAATTCAATATGTGCCCACACACAATCTGGGGGCATATGCTGACTACAGTTCTCAGGGCAATATACACACGCACTAGCACTAAGGGAACACTTTTTCCTTTGTTATTACTTTGATTTTTATTGGGTGGGTGCTCACGACTGCGGGGAAGATGCTGTTTATGTTGCCATGATATCCTTAGCAAATGTGGACCTTGTGGATCGTAAATTGCAAGCTTCACAGCTCGCATCCAGGACGCGAATGAAGCGTCTGTCGGTTGTCGTCAGGACTTTTATAGTCGCTCGGCAATCGCTTTAGACTGCTCCCCCTCCTCCTCACATTTAGTAACCCCTACTTGGGCAGTGTTACATTTCATGTCATTGCTCCTTGTTGATGCCAATTGACGGTTACTTTTCGATAAAGTATCAAAAAATGAAAGTTTTATTGCTTTTATACCAATAACTTACACGCACAAACGCAGTTCTCGTAGAGTTTGTCACGTAAATCTTTATAAAAGCTTCCTTTTGCCATCCCCTCAAAAGAACCTTAATACTTCTTGTTTATTTTCCCTTTTGATGTGGGATTTTTTGCCTTATATTGCACCACAATTTACATTTACTTTTTTAAGAGGATTTAAAAATTCCACAGGATAAAACTTGGGAAGCACAAACATAAAGATACGAACACATGCACGCAAATGTTGACATTTTAATGGGCATTCCTTGCAGAAGTGATGATAACGGTTAAGCAGGACTGGTATTTGCATTAGCTTCCCTTTTTTTTTTTTGGTACTTTACGTTGGCCATAAACGTGACAACGTATTTAATTAGTGCCCTCCTCCACAGTTGATTGGGCCACGTGCGGGAAGGGCGTTGACATCTCACTTGTAGCTTATTCTCCCAAGGGCAGACAGTAGACAACGGGTCTACAAGGTTTCTCCACCCACCCATCGTCAAACACGCAATCGAGGAATAAAAGTTGTAAAATACCCCAAACGATGAAAATGAAACCATTTGATTGATGAGAAGGGACCAATCGTGGCCAACACAAGACGTTAACCAGGCTCTCCAGTATTTGCTTTAAACAAATGCTCCATCAATTAAAGCTAAATTCGAGTCAGTAGCATCCGATTGCTCCTTTGAGGCCGGCTCGGTTTACAGAATTATACATCAATTTAAATGCTTCCATTTCTTATTATCGGACAGGTTTTAAGTGATAAATATAAATTCGATTGTGATTGTTAATAATGAATGTAAAAAGACATAAAAAGATAATAAATACTATAAATCCAAAAACAATTTTCTTCAAAACACACGTAATATTAACGCTTTAAATTTTAAAATTTTAAAAGTACAAATTTATTGGTGAATTCTGGTTTACCTAAAATATGATCATTTTAATTAATATCTAAAAAGAAGCATAAAAGCAAATTCAGTAAAGTAGTTTTACCCGCCTAACAGGCGCCTTTATATATTTCTTGTTTTGGATAATCTTGATTCACTTAAAATATTTGCCCAAAGAAATGGGATTATAAATCGGTTGTTTGCATAGAAAATCCACGATGTGTTTTAAAATTCAATAGGAGTTTGCTATTTTTTAAGTCTTGGTTTATTTTCCCAGTCCGACCTTGTTGAAAAGTTTGTCCTTAACAATCTGAGCCATTAGGCCATGTATCAGTTCAATTGTTGAGCGGCTGCAGTCTCGGGTGGCCTTAGATAGCTTGTCCTCGGAACGTTTTTCGTTGACATCGGTGCCTGTGGAAATAAGAACTGGTCATTAAATGCACTTTTCTCAAAATACAACTCTTTATGTACCGCGACCTAAAAAGTTCTCACTCTGCTCCAGCTTTTCGGAAAGGTCCATGATCTGTCCGGTAGTGTACTCTGTGTTGGTCAGCAGTCCAGAGCTGCCCAAAGTATTTACCCAATACTTGTTCCACAGAGAGTCTAGAAGCTTGCGGTCTAGTGCCGACTTAAAGTAGCTAATTTCCAGAGGGTAGTATTGCTTGCAGTGGACACCAAAATCCTCGATTTTATTCAGCGGGATAGTCTGGTACTCCGATGGCTCTTCGTTTGGCGGCTTATAACCCTTCGGGTATGTGCGGAATGCTCCTAAGCAGACTTTGCCAGCGGAAACAGTACGCACCGGGTCAACCACAATGGCCACGAAGGGCTCCTGGTACGTCTGGTTAAGCATCTGAGTGGAAACATCTATTCCTGACAGCCAACAACCATATCCGGGATGACTGTGGTACCAGCCCACGGCATGTTCCATGCGGCCCACCTCCTTGGCTGCCTCCATGTAAGCGGTCATATACTCGTATGCCTGCGCTTGGGCATTCACGCGTGTTTCAGTTCCCTCCACTGGAAGTGCAAATGCATCCATAACAATCTGCAAGGAAACAACATATCAGTAAAAAACTTGTCTCTTTGTCTTGTCTCCAATAACTACTTACCATTGTGTTGTCCTCAACCTTGCCCAACATCAGACCCATCACCTCCAGAGTACCGCCCGAGCGGGCATGCATAACCATCTTCAGGAGCGCCAGAGCTGAGATCTTTATGTCCTTAAAGAAATGCGGATCTTTCTCCCATGGTTTTGCATCGATGATTTGGCGCTGCTGTTCGGCATCGTAACGGAAGATCTCGTCGCAGCTGGGCAACGTCTGGATATTGTTTTCAAGCTCCCAGGTCTTTTGTGCAGTGTCTGTGTCCATTGCGAATGTACTTTTAATATATTTCTTACTTTTTATCGCAAATCTTTGTTTTATTCCGGCTATCGATAGCTTAGTTCGAAAGGTGTTATCGATGGTTTTATGTATTGGTTACAGCTAGGGCTGCATTTTATTCTTTAAAAAGATTATTTTAAAGATTGCTTGCAAATGTAATAAAAAGTTAAGCGAGAGGGCAAGTAATGTTACCAACATACATTATCATAAAATATAACCACCATAAAGGGACATTATCAATGAAAACTCTTTTATCTAAACCAAGTTGTCAGCTCCCGCGCCTTCGAATTTAAAAGTAACGCTTAAGCCGGCGCATTCAACGCAGGTTGGCAGGACTTGCGCGTCCATTGCAAAAAAAAATTCCTACACAGAGTTTTCGCTACAATTAACCAACTTCGACAAGCTCGTGATGTAGGCCGTTAAAAAATAAATTGGTGGAAAAGTGTGAAAGAAATCAATGTTAAGTTTGTGGTTGTAGTGTTTGATTTTAACGGCGTGTCTAAAATATCTTAAATAGTTGCGGCTTTTCAAAGTGTTCGCTTCGGTATTCGATTTCCCCGAACCCGCACCCAAGCCGCATTTGCGACGCCGTTCGGAAAATGTCGCTGGAAGGCGCTAGGTTGCGCTACGAGGACGAAAATGGTGAAACCGTTGTTCTGGCGGCCAAGGGACGCACATTCCAGGTGGGCTCCTACTACAACTGCGACCTGATCCTAAAGGGAGCGCAGGAGGAGCGTCTGATTTGCGAAATAAACTGTGACGCCTTTGGAAGGGTGAGTTTAGATTGCAAAGAACCCATTTTTTGCTCAACTACTATTATATCCCGCCTTCCGTTCCTTAGGTTATCATTTACAACAAGTCAAACGAAGATCCAATTCATCTTAACGACGTAATCATCCATGGCAAGCGTCCTTTGCTTCATGGGGGGAAAATTAAAATTCGAGACAAAGTCTACACTTGGGAGTTTCCCAAATCCGCCGACGCGCAGGATGAACCAAGCACCCCAGAGCGGCTTTCGGCCAACGAACAGGCTTCGAACTCCTGCCCTTCGTTGAAGGTAAATATCGACAATCTTTGCCAGAAAACGGTACAGTCTTCTAAGACCTACATATTGACTCCGTTTTCTATTTGCTTCAGCAATCACATCGTCCGCTAACCGAAAAACGCTTGACGGTTCACAAGTAAGTGAAAAACAGCAGGCAGACGCCTGACCGACTACCTGGCCAACCCCTAAAAGGTCTTCGAGCAACAACAATAGAAAGACAAACCCCTACTGCCAGCATGTGTTGCCTGCCTGTTAATGTACCTAATAAACCTTATCTTCCTTGATTCCTTTTCAGTTTTCACTACAGCATTAATTCTGATGACGAGGGGAATACTTCCATAGAGTCGCGTGACCAGAATGAATCCCACTTGGCAGAGGAATCACTGAATTTATCCACTCCACCTAGCGCAGAGATTTCCACCAGCGAGACATCCAAAGTAGATCTTCTGGAAGCCACGCAAAACAAGGAAAACACTGCGACACCGCCGAGTAGCCATAAGAAGCTGCTGCAACTGTGCGCCCTCTCCGACGTAGTTATCACTTCCTTTTCGCCGAGGGAGACGGGTGTCAAGGTTGAGAAGTCCTTCACATGTGTGCGAAAGCCGGGTCACGATGTTCCATTTACGGCTTCAGTAACGGTTTCCACGCCCAAGAGCGTGTACAGCACACCAAAAGGGAATGTGCTCTCGGAGCTGAACGAAGACAGTTGCAGCCGAGATCTTTTAGACTTTAGCACGCCATCCACTTCAAAGAAGGCCAAGCGCGCATCGTCCATGTTTCTTATTGACTTGACTACTCCTTCTAAGCTACGGCCCACACCTAAACAAACACCAACACCCAAACAGACACCTATAAGTGTTGACAGCACAGATGAGTCCTCCGATAACTCGCCGCTAGTCATTGACATAACCAATTCCAATACGCCCCCATCACCAGGACCTTCGCAACGGTATAGAACTCCTGGGCGCTTGGCTACCAACACACCTAAGCGTACACCTCAATCCCTGATGAAACGGGCACTGCTAACGAGTACGAAAAAGCAGATAGCCTCCAATCAGGCAGATAAGACCACCCCGGTGGGTCCCCCCAAGAGAACATCGATGTTAGAGGCGCGACGCCAGTGTCTTACTACGCCTCGCCGTTTGCCATTCCATCCACATAGGCGAACTCCAGTTCATCAGGAAGAAGACAAAGTGAAAGGCAAGACGCCGAAAACCTCGCCACGCAGGCGTAAAACACTTATGGAATCACCGAGGGAGAACAAGGTTTCCCAGCTTAGAAAATCATTTGCGGCAGCGATGCGTAGTCCCGGCGTTGACAAGAGCAACAAGCTGGTGGCTAAAGCTCGACGGTCGCTGAACTCACCCAAATGTAGCTCCCCTAAATCGGGATCGTCCAAGCCGTCATCACCATGTCCAAGAAAAGCACCAAATGTATCCCAGATCAAGAGTTCTACCCCGGAAAAACATGACGAATCTCAGGACGAGCTAAGCCGCACATTTACTATCATGGATGAAACCCAAGAAAAGGAGCAGAATGCGACAGGTTCAGTATTCGAAACCTTAACTGCTCTCATAACTGGAGAAGTAGAGAGTAATGAATCTTTCCAACTGAGTTCTGTAATTGAAAAGCACCTTTCGGAAACAAAGTCAATAGAACCAGAATCTATAGAAAAAAAATTCGATTCTTTTTGCTCAAAAGACTATAAAGGAATTGAGATAAAAGTTCAAGACGAAGAAATGGGTTCGAAATCGGATAAAACTAAGGAAAAGAATGAAAGTATAACTTCAAGTCCTATAATTGAAAAAGCTGAGGAAACAGTTATTGATGATAGCATTTGTGAGGAAGTTCATGCGGATATTCCCAAGCAAAAGCACAATGGTAAGCGAGAGCGATATTAAAAACATTATTTATTAAACTGACGACGTCGTTCAATTAAATAATTGCAGTTAACCCAGAAAATGTAATAGAGGAGAACATATGTGAAGAAGTTCCATCGGAGAGTAAAACTACTACTGAATCCATTTTAATAGGTACGTATTAAACTTTATATATAGAATCAAAACTTAGTTTTCAATTTACAACAACAGGCGACTCATCGCAAGTGAGGAACGAACAAACACCAACTGTTGATACCCCTGTGGTTCGAAGAAGTATGCGACGGCTTTCTGTTGAACAGAGGGCAGTGGCCACAACACCACGTAGGAGTACACGCAGATCGTCTGTAGAATCCAGCATTAAAGCGGTAACGGATGACAAAAATAAACGGACGCGCCGCGCTTCCTGCTCAGCTGTGGACAGCCAAGATGTGGGAACGCCTAGGAGGAAGCGTCGATTCTCGCAGGAAATGTCAACACCTACGCGGCAATCAAAGCGTCTACTCAACACGCCGAAGCGGGAGCTTCAATTAGATGAATCTGTTGGCGACATGGGCGTCATTTTGGAAGAAGTTGGCCAAGAAGAAGGTATGCTAGGTCAATATCTACATATGTGTAGTTCTAATTTTTTTATAGTATTTGAAAAATAAATAATTTCTTTTTGGGCATTTCCTTCGGTTTACCTAAGATATCTTATTAATTAAAAAAAAATTTTGAAATTTATTTTATTAAATCTTTATTTGTTACAGATGAGAAAATCGCTATCGCCGATGACGAGAATTATGGCAACGAATTGCCAGCCGATGATGTAGACAAAGTTGACTACCACGGCCTGAGGGATTTGCTAAAAACACCTAAAAACTGTAGCACTCCACGCTTCAAAGGACTAAGAGAAATGATGCGCACGCCGAAGATACCCGCCTCACCAATTTTGGGCAACATTGCAGAACTGTTGGAAACCTCCGTTAGTAGGGACACGACGGTGGCTCGCGTGGATGAGGGTAAGGCATTAGACGGTATTCTAAAGACGCCCAGCGCCAGGAATATTATGGTGCCAAATGAGCCAGCTAGTGCAGTGCTAAAGTCTCGCAATAAATCATTGGCACCCACTACCGAATACGATCTGAATATGACAAATACGACTTTGCATTTGGATAAGATCTTTGATGACGTTCCTGAAACGACTAGGGTCAATATGGAGGACACCGAAACCGAAATAAATGTAACATCGGTTAGCACTGCAACTGGTGCTGATCCTTTGGGTTCTTCAAAATTGGCTGTATCCGTGTCATCCGAGGCTATGATGAGTGCCTGTCATACATCGACTGCGGGATCTTCGGTAAAAGATCCTTTAACCAGTACCACTTACAAAGCCGCGCTGCACGCCGATCTGAATCTAAGCGCCATTACACATGGTGGCTCCAGAACCGTATCACCTAACCCAAATGAGATGAGCGGCATACAATTGCTGGACCAGACTTCAGATTCTGTGTTTTCCGAGGCTCTAATAGTGTCGGGAGTGGAGTCTCGCGACGTCACAGTGGACGAGACGAGGGCTTCGGGGCAAAACATTCAGCCTACTGGTGTTATTGATGATCGCTCGGACACAGACTCAAATGTTGGCCTTACTGAACCCCTGGTATTTAGTGATGATGAGGAGGACCCAGACGAATCCGAAGTGAGTACCAAGAAGTCCACCGGTATTGAGGAACCATCTATAGCCTACAGGCTTGAAGAATCCGCAGACTTTCCTAAAGACAAATCTATTCATTCAACACTAAGTAAAGATGAAAAGCACAAGGATTCTACTAATGAAATCTCACTTATTGAAGTTGAGGATAACACAATTGAGAGCAATGTAAGCGAAAAAGTTCCTGAAGGCGACAAAACTCTGGATATTGAACTTGATACTTTTAAGGAGAATAACACACCAGCTAAGGAAAATAGTCAATCCACTGTTTTGGAGTTGACAATCCTAGAGTCTGAGATATATCCTCTAGACTCAACGGCTGATAGTTCTATCAACATTTTACCTACTAGTGATTTGGAACCAAACCATTCAAGGACGACTAATCTTGGCAGTGACGTACTTCAATTGGATCAATCAGATATTAAAATATTACCCTCCGAAAAACATGATCTTGAAAGGACAGAAAATATTCATCCACCAGTCATAGCATCGCCTTGCAAAGAAGGCAAACAGGATATGGTCCCCACTGATAGTGAAACTTCTCAGCTAGCCGTGGAAACAACGCCCGTCTTAGAAGTTCCTGAGGAAACCAATCCAGATGAGGTTTCCACTGAGGAAGAAATTGTTAAACAAGTTATCGAAAGTTCCCAAGAAGATCCAGAAAACCCGAATACGGTTGAGGTGTGCACTAGCGCAGAAACTATTAAAGAAGTCATCAAAAGTCCATCAAAAGAACAACTCAAGCCGGTTGAGGTGTGCACTAGTGCAGAAACTGTTAAAGAAGTCATCAATAGTCCACCAAAAGAACAACTCAAGCCGGTTGATGAGGTGGCCACTGAAACAGAATCTAATCATCCAGACATTGAAAAATCAAATCCTGACGACCTTTTAAAGGAAACCAAAGATGATGGGGCTCCCGCTGATGCTGAAAACTGTCAACCAGCCATCGACACTTTATCTTCTGCAGAACATCCTGAAGAAACGGAAGCAGATGAAGAGCATACTGCTGATGCACACACTGATCAATCAGTTACCGAAAAATCAGTTTCCGATGATCTTTCAAAAGGCACCAGTCACGAAGAGGTTCCCACTGATGAGTTAAATCAACCTGTCATCGCAACATCACCTTCTGACCAACTTACAGAAGAAAATCAACCAAAGACGGTGCCTACTGAAAGCGAATCTGATAAAGAAGTCATCAACACATCAGCTACTGATAAACTTCCAATTGAAAGCAATCCTGAAGAGGTCCCCAGTGATGTATTAAGTCAATCTGTTATCGAAACATCACCTTCTGAAGAGCCCACTAATGGTGAATCTGATCACGAAGTCATTAAAACATCATCCGTCAAAGAACTCTCAGATGAAGCCATTTCTGATGAGCCAATTGATATTCAACCAGTTACCGAAATGTCAACAGAGACAGATAATCCAGAAGATACCGAAATAGATGAGCCATCCTGTATTAGTAAAGAGGAGTCATTAACCGAAACATCACATTCTGAAGGAATTAGAGAGGAACCCAACTCTGATCTTGAAAAGTTTACTGATGTAGCAACTGATGATACCGTGGGTCAATCAGATGATCCGCCTAACCAAGATGATATTAAAAGCTGTACCAAGAGAGACGTTGATGATACTAGTATATCTGAGGTGTCTAATATCAATCAAGATCAACAGAATTCTCAAAATGATTCTGTCATTATTTCCTCTGACTCTGAAGGAGAAAACACGGCAAAGGAGCCAACAAAAAGTGAAAATAAAAATTCTGTTGAATTGCCAAAGCATGAATCGTCTTTTAGCGCAAAAATTGAGATCGATCATTCTGCAGATGTGGATCCTAAGGTGAGTGGAACAGAAGAACCCATACCTGACGATGTTTCAGAGGAACGTAAAGAAAAGTCGGATCCGCCGAGCAGCCAGGATCCCCATAAGGCATCTCCAGACGGTGAAAGTCCGATCATTAAAGAATCCGTCACGGTACAGGAAAATAGTTTGTCTACTTTGGATGAATCATTAAACGATGTCATGGATTCGGATGAAGCTAAAAACGATGATGAAAATGAGATGAGGGTATCCACAGATGTCTCTAGTTCAGTTAATGAAACTGCACTGATTGGAAGTTCAGAAAATCAACAAAACTTGACCGATAAGGAAGTGTCTATTCTGGAAGAATCATCCGATCTCGACAAAGCAACGGAAGTAGCGGGTTTGGACACAGGTGAAGCCCAGGAATGTCAACCTAAACTGGCCTCTAAAGAAGAATCTAATAAACAAGAGAATAATTTGGATGTCTCAACCATTTCGGAGCAAAATACTCTAGATAAAAGTTCATTTATTGAAGATTCCGTCACTGATAATTCCAAGGCAGTTCCTGCGGTAAAGGATATATCTGATGTCGACGAAGCGAGGGTAGATGCCACTGTAAATATGGAATCGGAGTGTGGACCTATGGAGTATTCAGACCTCAAAGAAGCTGACGACGAGGTTATTTTGTTAGAACAAAGCTCAATAAATCCAAATTCAGCAATTGAGAACTCCATTACCCATCAGCTTAAAGAAACATCTGTATGCGACAACACGAAATCAAATGAGGATCTAGAAAAAGAAGAAACCGAGAAATTCGATGAAAACAAACCTGACGATGATGTCGTTCTGTCGGATGCCTCAATCAATACTGAGCAAATTCCGCTAGATGAAAGTTCACTCATCGAAATCCCAGACGCTGGGACTCCGGATGACAAAACGGAAGAAACTAAGGCTATGGTTACAGAAGAAGCTGAAAAGTGTGAAGTGACAGATTCATCGAATCAAAACGGTTTTGAAGATGAGGTTATTCAGTTGGATGCCTCAAACGCTGTTGAACGTTCTATACTCGATGAAAGTTCTCATATTGGAGATTCAATCACTGATCATTTAAAAGAAGATTCTGTTCTAAAGGAATCGTCAAACTTTGACAAAACAAAGTCGCAGATTCGAAATGAAGCTAACGTCGAAGTGGATGAAGTTGAAATGAAAAAGGTCGAGGATGGGACTACAGAAACTACAAAAGCTACAATTTCTTCCGAAAACCAAGAAGTTATTGCAGTGGAGCAGGAGATAGCTTCCCCAATTGTTGAACCAAAAATAACAGAAAAGTCTACAATAGTGCACAATAGGTCAATTGATCTTAATGAAATTTCTATTGTTGCTGAAAGTCCCAACAAAACAAGCTCCTCCTTTGTGAAGCACTCCTTCGATAAAGAAAGCGTTCCCAATATTTCAACTGGAAACATTGACCCTGCTGCAACGTCCAATTTGGAAACGCAAAAAGATGAATTAGCAGTAATACAACCAAAAGATATCTGCACAGATATCACATCAGCTCCAGCAATTATACTGAACGTCTCAGAAACTGCTATATTTGAGCCATCAACATCGCAACTTAAAGACGCACAAGACATTTTACCGCTTGAAGCTGAAGATAAATCGGGAGATCTACTCAACGATAAATCTAGTGAAATAGCTGAAACCCAGGAAGTTCCAACTAAAGCACAGGAAGCTGTAAGGGATGAAAGTGAACCTTTGAAACCATCACCAGAATCAAAAGATATAGGCTTGCATGATTTAAAGTCTACGAATCAAGACCCGAAATGCCTGTCTGACTGCGAAAATGTTCCAAGCGAGGAAGCACAAAATACTGTCCAAAATCAATCGATAATCGACTTGAATGATACAAGTGAAGAACAAGATGAAGAAATAGAATTCATATCAGAGGATGCACAGATTAATCTTTCCAGTACTCATAATCAACCACAGTCAAGTGAACAACGGGGCAAAGTTCCAGTTACTGAAATATACGAAGTAATTGACTTAGATGATTCAAGCTCCAGTGCACAGGGACCTGAAGCTACAGTAGCCGAAGCAACTTCAATTATAACTAATGAAGATTGCATTGTCCCTGTTGAAAAGGAATCTGTCGTTCAAAAAACAAGTTCGTCTGATTCAGTTTTACATCAGGCATCAATTGATTTGAACGAAGAGGATTCCGCTAAAGCGCCTGTTGAAGAATCTGTCATCGCCACTAAACAGAATGAAGGCGAAGATAACGCAAATGATATCCAAGAAGTAGTCATTGCGCCTTCGCCCGATTCTACTGCAGAAACTCATGACAAAACTTATGACAAACTAGTAGCTAAGGATAATAAAACACAAATGGAACCTGTAAATCATCTTAGCATTGGAACGTCCTCTTCTGCAGTTGTTCTTGTACAGGAAGTTCCAGATTCCAAGAATGATGGTGAGGATAAACCTAAGGGAGAACACTGCTACTTTGACAGGTTTAGAAGCCGAAAATGTAGAAAAAATAGACTTAAAAGAGGATGAATTGGTGAAGCCAATATCTGAACCAGACATATCACATGAGTCAACAAAAATTTCTCGACTGATCACCACGTCGTCGAGTCATGAAGAAAAGTCACCGGATGAAGAAACGTCTAAATCAGAGAAAAGAACTACTAGAAAGGGATCGGCTTCCGCTGATAGACAAGCAGAATCTAGCGGGTCTGAACGGCCGAGAAGGATGGCACGGAAACCATCTGCTGAAGTTTTGGAAAATGACCACCAAACCAAGCCGAAGGGACGATCTAGAAAACCATCAGTGGATGTCAATATCGATGAGGAAAAAGAAGAATCTATACCAGAAAAAAGAACTAGACGAAAGCGTACTCCATCTGTAGAAGTTTGTGAGACAGCCAACCAACAGAGGGAGACTGATGAAGACCCTAATGCAGAGGAAGTATTGCGACCAATTCTAGAAGAGCCAGAGCCTGAAATTGAGAAAAAGGAAAAGCACGATACCAACGTAGAACCTGAAGAGTCTGTGCCGGTTGTATCGTCAACTGTGTCAAAGGAGGAAACCACAACGCTAGGTAAAAAGAAAGATGGGGATAGAATCCAAACAGAGACCATCATAGAAAGGCCTAAGAGACGCGCGAGAAAGCCATCCGCAAAAGAAACAGATATAACGTCAGAGAAGAAAGAACAAGTTCAGGATGTTCAGGCTGTCAACGAAGATGAGGATCCGCATTTGGATAGGCCCGAGCATCAAAGTCTCAAAGAGTCAATTGAATCAAACGAGGAACCCACGTCAATAGATGAAAAGAAAGACGAGGATTCAAATCAAAAGGAGACCACCATAGAAAGACCTAAGAGACGCGCAAGAAAGCCATCTGCAAAAGAAACGGAAAAGAAAGAAAAAGCTGAAGATGTTCTAGAAGCCGTCAATGAAAATGAAACTTTGCATTTAACTCCAAAACACGTGGAACAAGAGTCTGTGACAGAGGTCTCATCGTCCAATACTAAGGATGTAGAGGAAACAACTCCAGATGTTAAGAAAATGGAAGAGGAAAATGTCGAACAGAAGGAACCTATTGTAGAAAGGCCAAGAAGACGAGGTCGAAAAGCGTCTGCCAAGGAAGAAAAGACTGACGATATTCCGCATGTACAGGAGGCAGAGCCAGAGTCAGTTGAGGCTTTAAATGTATCCAATGAAAGCCAAGAAACTCAGTCGCAGACTGTATCCAATGCCCATCCAGAAAAAACAAATAGGAGGGCACGCAAAGCATCAGCAGAAGACCTTAGTAACATACCAGAAAAGAAGCACAAATCGGAAGACCTTCATGCTACTGAAATGCTGGATGAGTCGAAGGAAACAGGTAGAGCTCGCGTGGAAAGAACAAAACGGAGGGGACGTAAGCCATCAGAAGAGTTGGTAGAATCCACTACACCTATTCCTCCACAGAATAACGATGATAAGTCCGAAGCGGAGGAGGCGATTCATACAATTCAAGATAAACAACATTCAGCTGAGGATAATATGCCCCAAAAGCGAACCCGCAAATCTGCCGAATTTATGCCTGAAAATATTCAAGGATCAGCTAAGGATGATCACGGTGAAAGACCCAAGCGTAGGGGGCGCAAGCCAACTGTAGACATTGACCATGGGGCCCAAGACCCTCAAGCGAAACCCAAGCGAGGAGATAAAACGTCATCAGAGGATGGAGATGAAAAGCATGAGCCTTTGCCGGTTGTGGAAGTAGAGAAAAAAACCAGGCGGAATGTAAGAAAAGCTTCTGCTGAAACCGTTGAGCCTGTAATGAACAGAGGCGAAGATCATCTTCAACAAATCGAAGAGGCATACGAACCGCATTCGGAATCAGAACCGACGACAACAATGCCAGTGCCGAATGAGGAAGCGGAACATAAGACGCGGCGACGCGGTCGCAAGCCTACGGCGGAGACTATTGAGGTGCCAATAAAAACTACTACAGCAGATGAATTCGTTGAGATCCCCTCTCACTCACGCAGGCGTGGACGGAAGGCCACAGAAGATGAGGCCTCCATAACCGTAGATCTGGAAGAGCCCAAGGCAAAGCTTCGTGGACGCAGGGCGTCCTTAGAGCTACAAAACAATGAGGAAACTCCGGCGGAGTCTCACTTGGAGCTCGTGGAAGTGCCAACGGTCAAGATGACACGTCGTGGTAGGAAGCCAAGTGCAGAAGTGGAAACGATACAAGTGGCCGCACCGGAGAAAAAACCTCCAGCTCGACGTGTCCGTAAAGCGTCAGCGAGCGTCGATGAGGGAACACCTGTGGCCAAGAAAACGACAACTCGTCGCGGACGTAAAGTTGATACTCATGAGGATGAGGAAAAGAAATCAATCGACTTGCAGGACCTGCCAACGGAGAGTGTTTCGGCTCTTGTTGTCGTTTCGGGCTCTCCAGTGAAGACTGGCGATTCGGAAGAACTAACACCGCGTCGTCGAGAGGGTCGTAACGTGCCGCGTAAAAACTATGAAGAGGCTCCAGACGATGATAAACCGCATTCCTCATTGCGTCGAGCACGCAAGCCAGCGGCAAGCAAGGCGAATGCCAGTAAGGTTCAAGAGCCGGATACTGTTCCAGGTACGCCCGGAACCAAACAACAACCCGTCGAGGTACAAGGCACACCCGAAAACGCGGTGATTTTGCCCGAGCCCACGACCTCACAGCGGCGCGAGGGACGAAATTTGCCTCGTAAAAACTATACGGAAGCTCCGGACGACCACAAGCCCTCACCGGCTCGCAGTCGCCGGGTGCGTAATCCGACTGTAAAGGCCCTGGAATTGATTGTGGACTCATCTCCGCGTCCTGCGACTCCCAAAAGGACCAAGGCAAAGACGGATGTGGATGAGGAACCACCAGCAAAGAGAGCGACACCAGAGGTGCCAACAACCACAGAGGCATCTGCACTGCAAGATGAGCCTACAAGCGCTGCCAAGGGGCGAGGCACTCGACGAAAAGCTGAATCGGAGGAATCGGATGTCAAGCCGGCCAAAAAGAATGTGCGCGCCACTGCACGCAAAGCCAAAGTTGATAGTGAAGTAGAGGAGCATGCGCCTATCAAGAAGGCACGAAGCGGATCGCGTGCCAAGACACCTTCGGAAGAGTCTGTCACTATTCAGGAGGAAGTGCCGGTCAAGAAGCCCGCTGCTCGGAGTCGAGCACGTGCCGTAAAGATAGCAGCACCTGAGCAGCCAGCCGACGAACCTCAAATCGAGGTTGCCGCCTCAACAGCTGCACCAGCAGCACGTGGAGGGAGAGGCAGGAAGGTGCACTTCGAGGCGGCACCGGAGGTATCTACCAGTGAAGATGCGCCAAAGCGGGCAACTCGATCGCGTCGAAAGTAATATCTATCTATTATATCCAGAAACTTGAATCATTGTTTTTTTGGTTATTTTATAATTCGTCATTTCATTTTATGTTATTAACTTCTGTATAAAAAGTTTGCATTTATCAAGTAATCAAGGCAAAATAATATTAAGTTATATTGTTAATCCACCCACTTTGGTGGGACATAGTTGGCTCCCCTTGCTCAGAACAAAAACTAACCTTAATAGTTATAAGGCATTAAACATTACTAATACATATATATATATAGCTTATTTCTTAAGACTATCGAAAATCCCCACAAATAATAAAGATTCGTAAACCAATTGGCTGAAAACTTTTTATTGAAAAGGCATGAATATGAATTTAAATCAATCGTTGCATTTATCTTTATTTTTTTATTATCATCGTAATAAAATGTAGTTTTTATTAATTCTGATTTTTGGTATACACATATATCTAATGCTTAGGTTTTTGATTGATTACTTTCGGAATTTGGGTAACAAGGGAATCATAGAAAAGCTGGGTGTATGTATATATAGCACATCCAAAAATCATACGCCATATAAGGCGTTCGATTGTGTTGAGTAAATCAATAGAAATATTGTACATCGTGTAAGCCTTTACAAACTTTGAGAACATTTTCGTAAAAATAAAGCAGTAATTGGAAAACAAATAAATAACAAAATAAATAAATCAGGACGTCAATTAAATCAATAAAAAGCTTCAGCTAAACTTAGGTAAAACACACAACTTAATTAAATTATATCTTAAATCTCACTGGTGTTTGTAAACTTGGGATAATACTTTCTAAAGCTTCTACAAAAACACTTGCGTACATAAGTTCTTCGTAAAGACTAAGCTCTGCCAGCTAAATGCAGTTTGTGCAAGTGTGTGCGTCGATCTAAGTCGTTTTCGTTTGTTCAAATCCTTAAAATCATTTTAAGCCTTCATAAGGACGTGCGGCTCTGACCTCAGCGAATCCGTTAGATACTGAATCTTCATGGTCTTTTGGAAGTAGCGTTTCTCGTTGGGCGAGTTCACCATATAGACTATTGGACGGACACCAACGTTGCGCCAAAGATCGGCAATGTGACTGAAAAAACAATCGAGATATTTATTTTTGTACTTAAACATTGCATTGATAAATCCAAAGAGGTTTCCTATCAAAACAGTAAAATAATGGCTTACATATTGATTTCATCTTTACTAAGAAAGACCACGCTTATTCCGATCACGGGAGCAATTATGTTTCGAAAGATAGCGCCATAGATTGAGGTAATAAGTGTAGAAGATTTAAGGATGGCCAGTGACAAGTACGTCTCATGCCATAGTCCGCAAACAATTTCAGGCTTTAGCTTTCGAAGCTGAAAAACAACACGATTACTATGATGATATAAAGATAAAAGAGTTTTTCCTACCTGGTAAATGGCCAGTGGTGAGCGACTAATGACAACTGTCCGCTGGGTAAAAGTTTCATCGGAGGTAATAAACTTTTCCAGCTGGTCAATCATCTTGGCGCTGTTATCGTGCAGTCGTAGAAACACTGTGGTCTCAGCGGCCTCTGCTTCTAGGAAGTCGGATAATTGCCGAAGGGAAGCCACCGATTCCGCCTCGTACTGAGACCTGTGTGCAATGACATGTGGACATCACTTAAGGGCATTTCCAGTTGATTGATTTACTCACCCCATGGGATGCTGCTCCGCGATGTTTAGCTTTTCCAACTCCACCAGTGTCTGTTGGGCCACATTTATTTTTGTGGGGTTGGCCACGACTATTTCGCCGCAGGCCGTGAGGCCGGCATCCAGAAGCAAGTTCCGATATCCACGTGCGAGGCACTGTTTTAAGGGGGTGGAAAAGGGATGTTATTGATTTTTGAGCTGACAACCACCGGTTCGTGACGTCACCCACCTTCTTGATAGCTGCCTTCGAGTTTTCAGGCGCATCAAAACCGGCTGCCCGGTTGGCTATGGGCCAGTAAGTGGGCCATTCCTCTGGACCACTTAAAAGGTTTAGAAGTCGCTTCTCGTTAGGACTTCGCTGGAGCTTGACGAACTTGGAGGCAATACAAACGACAAGAAGGGTCAGTGTACACCACGGAATGGCCAGGTTGCAAAGTAACCAGAAAACGTTGAAGCAGAAGAGGATCAGGCTCACCGAGCAGCACAGCAGCTGGTAGATCATTTTGAGGGACAGCCACAACCAACGCCAGTAGGACATTCAACAACAAAACTAGGTGGAAAACCAGCATATATTTATATGAAGATATAGGCTGCTGATCTCGGATGACTATGTCTATGTCTATGCTCGGATCCACTTACCCTAAATAGAATGCGTTCACCACCACCCGCTTCCGCTCCACTTGCCACTCCCTCGTCGGATCTAAGGGATTATGTGCTGTTTCTAGAAGATTTGTTAAATGCTTTCTTTTCAACAAATGGTTTTTGATGTCACTTTGACTATAGAATCACTAATTTAATTGGCACCATTAATAAAAACCGTCGAAAAAGCAAATAAAAGTTCCGACTGAAGGAGCGGACATTTTCCCGATATAAAATTGTCTATCGCTTATCGTCTTGCACCCAAAAGTCAGCTGTTGAGTTATCGGTGGATGAATTGGCGGTAAGGGTGTTGCCGCGCTTTTTTGAAAGAAACATGTTTTGATAGGAGTATTACAAATATAATTTTTTTTACAACACATCCCCTACACCCATTATGCACTAAAACATAAAGGAAAATTACACAAAAAAATATTAATTGGAATAGGTCAACAAATTTATGCAGTAATTTTTTCATATATTGGTTCAATTTAGTTAACTATACTTCTACAACTTTGTTAGCAGGCGTATCCAACGTCGAATTGTGGGATGGGCCAGGCGAGTGTAGACTCCCGGGTAGTAGGGATCCGCACAACCAACTCCCCAGGACACAATTCCGATAAGGGTTCCTTGAGCGCTAATTGGACCTCCGCTGTCACCTGCAAGAATGATCAAGTTCAGTGTTTTTTTTTATCAACTTTACGATTATATTATTATCTGCACTCACCTTGACACGCGTCTGTGTTTCTGGCTGCCGCACAAAACATTCTGGAATGGTAGGATGGTAGCTTCAGAGTGTTCAATCAAAAAATTATGATTTTAAGTGGATTACAAAAAGGGAAGGTTTTAGGAAGAGATAACTCTTTGTAAACTGGGAAATTAGGGATTCACTATAATAGGCAAAAATGCATCTTTTTAAAAAACAAATGTAAAATATTGTCACTCCGGAAATAAAGCTTTTTATCAAATTATTCATTTGTTCACATTAGATGCCACAATAGACATAAATTTATCTTCTAAAAATAGCAATAAGCTTTGAGATAACTTCTTAATTAGTTCACCTTACAAGACAGTTTAGGTGAGAGAAATTAAACTTCTGGTGGCTGGTACAAATTAATACGTAAACTCATCATCCAATAAATCATATGAACTTAACCTTTTTTGTATTCATATGTATAATAACGGAAATTATTTAAATTTATATTTATTGCTTACGCTTCGGTGACGCCTCCATGATGTCGCAGATCGTTGTGGCACTTCTCTTGGTTGACCGTAAGGACTGTGGTGCTCTTGAGTACCGGGGATAGGACGGGATTAGATGTGCTCATGTGCCCCCAACCGGAAACGACGGCTGGGACGCTGTCCAAGATTGCCTCACCCACGGCGGGTAACCTTATGGGTGCCACTTTGCCAAGTGGAGAGCTGAGTGCTCTGTCTGCCGTTTTTAAAAGGGCCACGTCAAAATTCATGTCCGCCCGATCGTAGGCCGGATGTTTGTGGATGGCCTTTACCGGCTGGACGCTTCCGCCTGTGGAACGCATAATGCTCCCCTGACGAAGGGTGAACTCCCGCGGCTGTCTTTCATGCCCGTCGATGCAATGGGCCGCCGTAATGGCCCAATTGCTGGCCAGGATCGAGGCACCGCAAATGTGAACTGTTTGCCGGCGCAGCGACAGTTGGTATGGAAATTCGCCCTCGGCGGCTTCACGTCCGTTGACAATCCGACTGTCCGGTTTCCGTGGAGCTGCTGCTTTTACGAAAGAGGATTCCAGGATCAGATGGATCCCAGCTAGCAAGAGGAGCACAATCGCGAATCGAGGCTTTTGCATGTCGCTGCGGACGAGTGGAAACTAACCAGTTATTGGAATCCGTAAGTCGATATATTCGCTGGCGTTTTATCAATCACTGCCGTTATCTAGCGGAGTACACGATTTCTGTAGAAGCTGCTCCGTTGTCCGTAATTAAGCATTGTCATTTGGGTTTTTTCTTTGCCTTCCAGATTCTGTGATTTTATTACTGTTTACAGCGGTGACGACGGCAATGAACTTCCGCAAGAGCATCAGGGATATGCAGCAGTGGGTGGTGGGACTAATTAAGAAGGTTAACTATTTGGGTTTTAGAGGACCTTTGGTTTTTCGATTTTCGGGAAACTTGATGGCTCCTGGGAATTTTGATAAATCATGAGTTACATATAAAAAGCTGAATATGTCCATATATTATCTTTTATGCGAGCAGGATATCTTAAAAGTATCTGAACATTAAAATGGTAAATATTTATTTTTTTATTTAATTATGTATTTAAAGTAAGTTACTTTTAATTATTAATCAGTAATCTATAAGGTAACTAGTTGATAGTTACATTATCAGCTAAGGCTTTAACTTCGCTTATGATGAAAATATAAACTTATGTTTCCTACTAGCGGTTCTTACATATAATTTTTTGTAATATACTGTTTTTATTGGGCTTTACAAATTCTATAAATATAGCTTTTTAAATCTTTTTTTTAAGGATATTAAAATAATTAGAGTATTAGCCATCGTCAGCCGAATAAAAAATTATGCCAATCAACCTTAATATAGATTTAAATATTATTATATTATTCAAAAATTACTTTTCAATTTATGTATGTATTGAAATATGAATTATTTTTAACATTCCTTATTTTGATGATTACTTAAAAATATCTTAGTTTTAAAAATATACTGAATCCCCCAGCAAGCATCGATAGTATCAAGAAAAATATCGATGTTAAAATAAAATGGTCTCACTGAATGGTATATTAAACGTTTCGGCTGCAGTCACACTTCGTCTGCAATTTTCAAGACTTATACACGCGCGCTTGTTTTTCGGTTCGCATTGAAAAAAACGGCAAATTATAAAGCGAAGGAGTAACTTAAATTCTGGATAAAAACCTATTTTATACCAGGTCGTTAGTAGTAAAAAAATTAATATTCCGATCGTATACATATCGCAATTATCGGCTCAACTCTGGTGCGAGTGCGACAGCAATAGCAGGCCGAGTGCAGCAGTACGATTGCAGCGAAGTTAAGGGGAAAACCAAAGAAGTTAATAATTATTGGAGTGGAGCTCACAACGAGCAAAAATCCAAAATAAACCATAAACTTCACGACTAGTTATGGAACCCAGGAACGGATAAAAAACAACGGGAAGGGAGTTTTCGGCCCCGCGACAACAACAACAACAGACAGTGGAAGAACAAGACTGCGACGGCCACTCCTTTTGTGTCCGACTTCGAGATGTGTGCGTGTTCGTGTCCGCGTCCGCCTTTGTGTGTTGAGCAATTGAAAACTGGTGATTGCTGAATAAATTAAGGTAGCTAAATTAATAATTAGCGAAGCGAGTTAGGCCAATAAAAAGTGAAAATCTTCTGCGTTTTCGTAAAGCGAAAGAAACTACAGCTACAGTTAGAGATAAGAAGAGCTCTCTCACTCACACACACATACAAAAGCGCAGGCCGACGAACGAGTGTGCGTGCGTGTGCATGTGTTTATGACTCACGGCTGGTTCAGTGAGACTGTGTGATAGAGAGAGAAAAAGAGCGAGAGTGGTGGCTTGAGTAACAGTAACAATACAGAAGGCAAACAACAACAAATCCGCCGAACGTTTAGAATTTTCCAAGTCGAGCGTAACTAAACGCATTGGAAGAAAATCCCCACGCTCACACACATAACCACTTCACATAAAGGGAAAGAGAGAAAGCCGCTGGAAAGATGAGCTTCACCAAGTGGTTTAAGAAGAAGGGCGGAGATGGGGGATCAATTTCCGAAATCGGTGCACCCACAAACTTCCAACGGCACTTTCATGTCTCGCGCAACCAGGAAACGGGTGATCTGGAAGGCCTTCCAGCGCCCTGGGTGCGACTGATGAACTCACAGATCACTCGCGATGAACAGGACAAGAATCCAGATGCCGCCTACCATGCCGTCAAGTTCTACAACTATTCGATTAAGAAAAAAGGAAAATGAGGTATTTAAGCCCTTCATCACCGAGGATGTAATCCACGAGGAGTCCAAGGAAATCGAGAACTATGTAAACTATAAGAACAAGCACAAGTCGCAGGACCCAGAAAAATCCGACGACGATGGCAGTTCCACAGCTACGGAAACGGAAAGTAGCAGCGGTTGTGGCTCCTCGGCGGGAAATAGCAACAGTAGCAGCATCAACGATAGCAGCCAACAGTCAACGGTGCCGCTGGATGCCTTAGAAGAGGTATTCAAAGAACTGAAATCCAACTTTAGAGCACCGCGAAACACTTAAGGCGGTGCCACAGGAACCCCCACCAGTACCGCCCAAGAAATCCCCACATACCATGCCGCCCAAGCCGCAGATTAAGCCAAAACCCCGGGTAACCCAGAAGTTCTCAAGAACATCAGATCTCCGGCGGGATGAGGATTCCGACAATCAGCACAAGATCAACACAGATACCATCATTATCAAGCCAGCCGGCGGTGCCCAGGATGCTGGAGGGGATGACAATCCAGACGAGACGATACTCCGTCGATCGAAGGAGAAGAGGGCTCAGAAGACCGATGCCGAGATTTACGATGAGCTAAGGGCCATTTGCAATCCAGAGGACCCAAGAGAACGTTATAAGACCACCCAGGAGGTTGGAAAAGGTGCTTCCGGTATAGTCTTCATAGCTGGAGATTTGCAGAACGAGTCGCAGGTGGCCGTCAAGACCATCGATATGAAGAACCAGTCCTCCAAGGATCTCATACTCACCGAAATTCGAGTTTTAAAGGACTTCAACCACAAGAACCTGGTGAACTTCCTGGATGCCTACCTACTGGAGCCCGAGGACCAGCTCTGGGTGGTTATGGAGTACATGGATGGGGGCCCGCTGACTGACGTTGTTACCGAGACTGTGATGAAGGAACGCCAAATAGCGTGCGTTTGCCGAGAGACGCTCTACGCGATCAGTTTCCTGCACGCCAAAGGCATTATTCACCGGGACATCAAGTCGGACAACGTGCTGTTGGGCATGGATGGCTGCGTCAAAGTGACTGACTTTGGGTTCTGCGCCAACATTGAGGGAGATGAGAAGCGCCAAACAATGGTGGGAACCCCGTACTGGATGGCCCCCGAGGTGGTCACGCGTAAGAAGTACGGCAAGAAAGTAGACATATGGTCCATCGGCATCATGGCCATCGAAATGATCGAAGGTCAGCCGCCCTATTTGTACGAGACTCCGCTCCGCGCACTCTACCTGATCGCCGCCAACGGTCGGCCGGACATCAAGAGCTGGGACAAGCTCAGTCCCAACCTGCAAGACTTCCTAGACCGTTGCCTCCAGGTGGAGGTTGATCGAAGAGCTACCGCCGACGAGCTTCTTAGCCACCCATTCCTCAACGACTGCAGCGAGGTCAAGGCCCTGGTGCCCAACATCAAGGCCGCCAAGAAGGTGCTCCGACGCAACGTATAGTTGCTGTGCAATCACCGGACGGCCAGGCTGCTCTACGCGTGATCGGAAGCGGGATCGGGATCTGCCCCGTGTGTATAATGAGTTTTCAATGTAAATTTGTTTTGTGTGGACGAAACCGGAACTGGAACTGGAACAGAATGCTGATCGTAGTCTTTGTAGTGTGTACAACCGTAGAAATAGCGAGAGCAGGACTAGGACCCGGCGACTCCCCTTCGAAAACAGGTAAGTCCCGCTCACTGCCTGCCCGCCCTTTGAATACCCAGGTAGCACGCCCATCTGGCCGAGCTCATTATTCAAGCGAAGCGATATCCATTTCAACGGAAACCTTTTCGCAATCGCACATGTGGAAACAGAGGCTGTCGGTTTATTGGCCGATGGGTTAGTTTCACTGCGATGTCTGAATTTTGTCAAAGACCTAGACCCAAAACGGCGATAGTTGCCTATCTTGACTCTCTTAATCAGTAACTGGCTTCGGTTCGAACAACAGATTAAATTCGATCAAGGTTGCGAAGTGCACGAGGTTTTTGTCTCTTGATTAGTTCATTTGCTTTTATAACTAGGAAAATCAAAACTCGAAAAATTGCATGCAACGCCCTTTTAGAAAACTTTCAGAAAATGCGTGTCAAAACAGATGAGAAATGAAGCTAGAAAGTCATTCGTCAAAATAATGGATTGAAACCAGCAGTCGGATTCGTTTCTATTTCATATATTCTTTATTATCAACCTAAAAATGACTCATTCCTAAAACTTTTACTTTAGATAGTTATTTTCCAAAAACTTTTTCATTGTTTAATAATAATGCTTAAATCGTATTCTTTGAATAATATGATTCAAACTTCGCATTACTGTCTCGAAAAATACTTTAATCTTGTTTTCTCGAATTAAATTACTTTACAAACTTGCTTTAAGTTAATGAAAAACAGTTTTGTCTTACATTTTCTTGGGAAGCTTCCCAATGAACTTTAGAAATGTCGTCATTAGAAAAAATTGCCATTTCAGTTTTTTGTTTTGCAATTACATTTATGTTTAAGGCTATTGTTTTTCAAAATTCCCGAAATTACTTTATCACAATGAGTTTCTTGACACAAGTTGAATTCATCATTTCTTTAAATTCTTCTTCCTGTTTTGGAATACAATTCCTAAAAATATAATTTGTAATTTCCCTATTTAATATTACCCTATCTTGGTAGAGCATATACTGTTATAAGGCTAGAGCTACAGTTGCAGTTGTTATTGTTTGTCTCATTCGTTTGCACACCTATTACGTATACTACGTGCAGAGTTTTTGCACAAGACATCCCATTGAAAACTGACAATGGACAAAAAAAAAAGCGAAGGAAAGAAAGAAGCCGCTCCTGCAGCAACAACAAACAACAACTAAGTACGCAATTTAACACGCTCGTTCGCATTTCCTGTTTGGAATATCGCTTTGTCTGGCCAAAAAATATTCATACATCATAATAAAAAAAACTTTAATTCGTACACACAGACAACTGAACAAAAAACACCTACGCGCACCGGATTGCATTTGTATTGGCCTTATCAGCCGAGTACAACACACTGTTTAAGTGCTATTGTAATTCCCCCAGGCAGTCCAGAAATCGTAGTGGTATTTATTTTATCAAGTTCTTAGAACAATTTTCGTCCATTTTCAATGTGATAAGGAAAAGAAAAAAGTAGATCGTGAAAGTTTTTCGAGAGAAAGAGAGGGGGCGGCGAAAGAGCGAAAGTGGAGTCAAAGTCAATGTGTGTGAGTGTGTGTAGCACAAAGAATAAGAGTGTGTATATAATTGATTCTGATGGCGGTTCTCCTGTTCTCTTCATCGCCCCTTCTCTTTCTTTCTCCTTTAGTTCTTCTGCATCTTTGGTTGCCCTCCCACTTACTCAACTTAATTGCTTCTGCTGCAAGAGCAAGTAAGAGGGGGGATGGCGACGTCGCGACTTGGCTGCGCTATTTATACTCTCTCCCACTCCCACTTTTGCCTCGTCTCTTCCCCTTCATTGTGATGCACTGCTTCTGCATTTTCCAGTGGCGGATTAATCTCTGAAATTTGAGGGGGAACATTTTTAATGGGGTGCAAACTGTTTGAATAACTTGCTCATTATTTTCATTACCAAAACCTTAGCGGGATCCTCCTGGTTTAACCCCCCTTGAATCCGCCACTGGGCTCTTCCCCAACTTCTACCGGATCTCTAGGCTCTTTATTTGTTTATATTACTGGCGCATACTTTTGCTTTCCGTTTTGTGGGAGAGGAAGCGAGAGAATGCGATGGAATTGCTTACTTGCGGATATTGAAATCTTGAATGCTGGAAGTACTGGAAAAAAAGTGGGGATAGGGCTATGTTCAGGAATTTCGCAAAAACTGAAACATTTTCTTCGTTTTCCATTTTGTCTTTTGGGCGTGGAACGTCGATGCTGGGGCCAAAGTACAGCTGAATACACAGAAATTATATTTACTCAGTATTTTGATATTATGCTATATAATGCTAATATACATTTTAGATTTGTTAACCTAAGATGACATTATAAACCAGTAACAACATCAAGAAACGGGTTCAATTCTCAGTTCAAAAATGTATTTTAAAATTTTTCTGCTTGATAAATTTTGCAATACTTGATAAAAGCGGATTTGTCATTGTTAGTATATGAACAGGAACTACGAATATATTTGCTAAATTGATATGCAGAAACATTAGTTGGATCCAAATTTCATGTGAACTTTTCTTTCTGTGTAGCCATGTGTGCGTGAGTGAGTGAAAGGGCCTCGTGAATCCCCAGACACATTTGAAAATGGTCTAGCAAGCTACGCCCCAAGACCCAGAAATAATGACTAAACCACTCACATATAGTTCGATTTGGAATGGCGCCGCTGAATGATAATTTCACCTTGCTCGAAAGGTTTTTCGGCTGCTTGCCTGCGTGTGTGAGTGTTTCGTTTATTGAACCACACAAGTTGTTGTTTGGTAGCTATGCGGAATTTTAGATGATTCATTCATTACTTTGCGCCAGCGACTTATTTTTCCCATTTCACGTCGAGGGGGGTGTTTGTAATCGACCTTCCCGCCTCCCTCCCCACCTCTCTGCCAGATCACGCCAACCACAATGCAAAGTTGTGTATTATACTGAATCCGAATCCACTGGCTTTAGTAACATTTGCGAACGGGTGTTTTGTCAGAGTTTCCAATGCCTGCGACATACTCATCCACTCACACTCATACACTCGCTGCAAGTACACTCGCAATAAAAATATATATTTTTGCGGTCCGACTCAGTGGATTGTCATGTAATGTATGCATGCATTGGTACACGATCCACAAGTGAACTTCTTTCGACCCTCTTCGCATCTGGAACGCGCTCTCATTTGCCTGCCAAGTCAACTATCAGTTGCACAGAAAAAAATGTATATTACAAGATGTTTAATTTCATGATTATACGTTTGCGTATTTAAATTGGTAATTGTTATGTTATAATGTGATTAAATGCATGCTATATATATGTTTTGGGGAAAAATTTTAAAATTATCTTCTAGACCTGCAAACTTTGAATTGATAATAAGTTGCTTTATTTTCTGAGTGATGATCTTCTCGTTTCTGATTTCGTCAATGGAAAATTGTGTGGAAAACTGGAAGTGTTCGGCAAGCCGCGTTTCATTGAAATCGAAGCGTGACTTTCGAGCGGGTGCTGCTTCACATGCTGATAAGTATAAACAATTATTGTGCTGATAATTGACGTGCTCCGCTCTCCCATGGCATAACAATAGTTCTTTTGAACAACAGAGAGGGATAAAGTACGGAGGAGGCGGAGGAACAAAACGGGCGAACGACGCCAAAAGATTATGCAGATGCCCCTTGAATTAACCCATCGACAGGGGCGCCATAAAAATTGGTACTGATAATGCATGATTAAATATAATATGCAGTCCATATGACCTCAACCCCCCCGACCCAAGGTCCACCCACCTGTCGTGACTGTAACAATCTATTTTTAACGACTTCTTTGGCCGGCTAATCAACTGGTTATATCAAATGATAAGGGGCCCGCCGATAACGGAACAGTTGTTTGATTAGTTCACTTTGCCTTGCGCTTCCCGAACAAATTGTGTTTTTGTTCATACACTTGTCTCCAACGAATTAGGTCCACTTTGTATTAAATTCAAAATTATTTGTATATTAAAGTGCCGAATTAGAATAATAACATTTTCAGCTTATTCATTGTAGGAAATATAAAAACATTATGAAGTAAATTTTAAAAATATTTTTGTATTCAATACAAACCCACAAATTTCAAGTTTTTTTAAGCTTTACTAGTGCCCATTATTGTACATTCTTTTGCCCATAAACGTATTTCGGGGTGATGACAATTATTAGAGGTCGATGTGTTAATTATTCGCTAACCCATGTTCGTTCTGCCTCTTTTCTTAGCTGCAGAGCAGCAATCCGACCTGGAAATGTACCGACAATAAATAAAATCTCTTTTTATCTTGTTTTGCAGCACGAGACAGCGAAGGCAGAGGAGATGACGCCGGAAAAACTGGCAGGAAGCAGTCGCAAAACGGTGGATCCAAACCGCATCGCTCGAGCAGTTCATCGATGATAGAGGGACGGGGTTATCGCTTAGATTAGATTGTCCTATGGCAAATTAGCTTACTTCGTACATGGCGCATATACATGCATAGATGTGTATATGTGACAACGCACACAAACACGCACATATGATATAAATACTGTATTATTAACTGTAGGAACATAAGTTTGATTACTCTTTATATACCCGTATATATACATAATTGTGATTTAAGCGATTTTATCAAATCTGCATAATGCGATTCTTTATAAAATTAGTCGTAGTCAGTAAGTGCAAACGAAACCCTAAACAGAGAACATGCAATACTTGTTGTAAATTACCAAAAAACAAAAGAAGAAAAAAAAAAAACAAAAAATCAAAACAAAAGCGAAGACGATAATTATAGCAAGTCGAAATGAGTGTAACAAGTGCCATTAGGACTAGAGCTAGCAGCAGCAAGCGACACACCAGTAGCAAAAGCAAAATTATCTCCACAATTTATGCATTTCCCATAGTATACAGATATCAATGCAACAGATAACTAATTAGACAGCTAGATTGCCGGAGCTTGTATATTAGCTGATATTCGCAGTGTTGAAGGGATTGAATGAAAAAGTTTGATATTCCATTTTAATTAGTACAAACTTAAGACTAACCAAAACGCCACAAAGGAACAGATTAAAATAGACTTCCTTGTTCCTTCCCCCGAGATATTTGCCATACGCACAAAGAAAATTGTAACTCTAAAAAGAACCCTATCATAATAGAGATGTTATTTAACGCCGTAATGTGTGTGTCAAAGCTAAACTGAAATACTGGAACAAAGAATAGCCCTAAAGGAGTTTATGCATATAGAATTGGTATACGTACACTAAACCTAGTTCCAATGGGAATTACAAACAATGCCAATTACAGAAAAGAATATCTAGAAGAGGGACTAATTAACATCTTAGCCAAAGTAGGATTTCCTTTCATTAATTTCTTTATTGTTTCAAAATTTGATGCTATTTCCCACCAAAAATATTTATTCAAAAAAGTATATCTATCTTTAGCTAGTCGTCAGTTTCTACAGATATTTTACTGATTCACAACGAAGGCGGAACAAAAAGGGTACATTTTGAGGATATTCTGCCAGCCGGTGTTACCCTTTTTTACTGTTAATATATACACCTACCGATAGGGATTATCTTTTAATTGCAATTCTGATATTAGTAGGCAATGGATTGCTGCTGCTGCAGATCGGTTCATAGTTAAATTTTATATACGAAACGAAATCCCAATATTTGGCCTATAATTATGCATTCATAATTTTTAAAGAGCTTAACCATTAATCGAAAATTTACTTGATTTTCTTAGTTTAGCTTAAATGAGTATTAAGCAAGGCAACGAACGAAGAGTATTTAAGGGCAGTAGAAATGGGTTTAGATTGCCTTTTTGGAAACCGAAACATACCCAACATTACATATTCGCAAACGCATTTAAGACGAACGCAAATATTGCAATTAATACCGTAAATGTAAATGAAACTTAAGTCTTCAAAACCAAACAAAGAACAACAAAAAGGTAGCATAATTTTTTATACGCAACTTTTATTGCAATTGTAAAGGGACGAATAGGAGAAAGAAGAAGCTGACATCAATTTTGATCGATTCGTAATTATATTAATATACACTAAAAGAATTGGCTCTATTTCAATTAAACTTAAACGTAGTTAAAATACAAAATGCATATTAATGTGCAAGGTCTTGATCCGACTTGCCAAAATAAACGTAAACAGTATGATAAATAATACGAAGATCTATAGATATTTATAGAAAAGGAAAAACAATAACGATACACATTAGCGCTTTAATGATCGCTTGAATTCAAAGAGCAAATCACACACTAAGTTTTATGTTTTATGTGCGCACGTTTAGTTTGCTTGGAACCTAAGTCGTATTCGTATATTCTACTATTATTTAGATTTATTTTGCAATTTACGATTTAAGTCAACCTTATACACAGACCCAAAATCCATTTAGTTCTCGTAGTCCCCCATCCACTTCGATCTTTGAAAGTGGCCCCTCACAATTGTATGTATTTAGTTTACCTTGCACTGTAATTTTTATTTTGTGTTGTTAAATATATCGTTATTTACTTATTCGACCAAAGCAGTCGTTGGATCAATATTTTCTGTTGATGCTGCAGTCAAAGCAATATCAAAATGGGGATACAGCTTAATTAGAATTTTCAAATCGATTTGATTACACAAAACTGGGCTCTTTCTCTAATTTCATTTTTCGCTCTTAAAATAAATTTGCTTAACGATAAAAAAGGAAAACTAAACAAATTTAAAATTTATGAGAGTGTAAATAGATAAATTAATGTAAAAGATGCCCAATTTCTATAAGCAGGCCAAATTTGCGGGCTTCTTCTTCTTACAGCCAAACATCCTCGCGATATTTACCCTTCGTCTTCAGTTCCTTCAGCTGCTGCGAGGCTTCTTCCTCAGTAATGTGAAGAACTTTCTGCAGACACTGATTTAATCCATTGGCAATAGATTGAGAAATCTTGGCGCCATCGGCGCACAGATATAACACAGTTTCTGGCTTCAGCAGGAACGTGATCAGATCATCGGCATCGTCGGACATCATTTGTTGCACATAGTTGGGGGATTCTCCTCTCGAATGACACATGCGAAGACGCTGCAGCACAGACGATTGCTGCCAGGATTGCAGCTTTTCCCGCTTGAGAATGGCTTCTGGTTTCTTGGCGCCAATGTAAAGCCAGGAATGTCCTTTATCCTGCTGCGGCTGCTGTTTTATAAGGTATTCTTTGTGGGTAAGGAAACTGAGGAAGGGCGCCAGTCCGGTGCCCACCGCTATAAGTATTTGATTGCTGCCCAAATCCTGCTCTGTGTATCGGAATGCATTGCTCAGTCGCGGGTAGATAACCACTTTAGTATGCTGCTCTGCATCGATTTGCAGTGCTTTCGCCTCTAACATGCTTGTCGTGACTCCGGGTTTGTGACTGAGGAGTGAGTAGATAACGCGAAGTTCCTGGTCACCGGCTTCCAAAGGACTGTTGGCTATGGAATAAGGCCGCGGTAGTAGCCGTGGCAAATGCTCCACCAGAAAGGCCAGCGGTGGTCTGCAGCTGCCACAAAGTTCCATAATATCGGTAAAGAGTAGACCTTGCTCAAGTATAAGTGACTGGTAATGACTAGTGGCCTGTTTTGAGGATAGGCAGGCCAAGAAACTGCGCTCCTTGTCGTCTCTTGTAAACCCGGCTAGAGCGCTGAGAAGTTGCTTCTGCGGAAGGCAGTTTAAGGACAGGCATTGGGTAAGGATCTCACGAGGAGTCGTCTCTGGCGGAATGTGAGCTGGGAGTTTGGCATTTTTCTTGGCGCAGTGGAGCGCTAACTTAAGGTGACATGTGGTGTCAGCCTTGTCAATTAGTTCAAGTTGATGAAGCAGCCGGTCCACTATTTCGGTTCTATTGCTTGGCAAAATACCGATGGTGTCGCCTGGTTGGTAGTCAAAAGATGACTCCAGAGTCAGTTCCACAACACGTTTCGTCTCTGTTGCTTTATCTGCAGCCACAATCACTTTGCTTTCCTTTATCGCTACAGCACTTGGCTGGGAATCAAGGCGGGCGAATGGAAACTTTAAACCCTCGCCGCATCTCAGTTGGGCACATGTTTCAATAGGTATCTACAAAAATACTCTTTTTTAAGGGGTTTTTGCATGGATTCACCATACTCACTTTTTCTTCATCCGTAAAGAACGCCTCTAGATTACCGACCAGCGGCTTGGCGGGAATATATTCATTTAGAATATACGCTCCTATGTCCATTTTATCCGGACCAGGTGATTCACATGCAGCAGTCTGTTAAAAAGTATCGGCTCGTGTGTAATCGATAAGCAATGTTATCGTAAGCATGAGGAGCAATATTTGTTGCTGCACAACAAACCGAAATCTCCAGTAAAATATATTAGTATTAATTGGAAATATAATGGCAGGAAACACCAACAGTGACGACGAGTTCCAGGATGCGATCGGCGAGGAGATCACAGAGAAGGAGGCTACCAGCACGCAGCTAAGTGAGAAAGATGTGGACGAGATTGTGGAGAAACAGAGTCAGCTGGCGTTGGATGACGAAGCCGAGCAAGGTGCGGCTGGCGGGGATTCCATTTTGAAAACACCAGTCGTGGACACTGAACTGACCATCGAAGAGTTGCGCGAACGGGAGAAGGAACTTAGCGCAGAACAGCTGGCCGAGAACAAGGAGAAGGCTGACATACTAAAATTGGATGGAAACGAAATGTTCAAAAACGGCGATCCGGAAGGCGCCGTTACAATCTACACAGAAGCCCTGGACATATGTCCTTCTGACAGCACCAAGGAGCGAGCTGTGCTCTATGGAAACAGGGCTGCTGCCAAGATAAAGCTGGAGGCCAATAAAGCGGCCATCGACGACTGCACAAAAGCCCTCGAACTGTGGCCGGAGTATGTGAGAGTACTCCTTAGGTGGGTGTACATATGTAACCACGATTTATATGTGTATCCTAATATATATAAACTTCTTAAAGACGCGCCAAGCTCTATGAGCAGGACGACAAACCCGACGAAGCTCTCGAGGACTACAAGAAGGTGTCAGAGATCGATCCCGGACAAACAGATGCTCGAGAAGCACAGGTTCGTCTGCCGCCCATCATCAACGAGCGCAACGAGAAGCTCAAAACTGAGATGTTGTCCAGCCTTAAAGACCTGGGCAATATGATACTTAAACCGTTCGGCCTGTCAACACAGAATTTTCAAATGCAACAGGATCCCAACACGGGCTCGTATTCCATAAACTTTAACCAAAAACCAAGCTAGTTCAAAGTTTTAAAAAATAACAAATAAAGCTGTTTCTGAGGATTATGTGGAGAATAATAAGACGTGACCAAGTCTCAGTTTTCGTACAATTTAGACCTCTATCAATGGAATACAAAAAAAATTTAATTATAATCAGGATGATAAAAAAGACCTACCTAATATGAAATTATGGAAATTATATTATAATATGCACAATGTGTTATGCAAGTAATCTGTTTGGTTCCTTCCGCACTTTACTCTAGGTTCATTAAATATGTTTTAGATAATTATACCTGGCTTTTGAGTAGTACTAAGCCGTGACCGACAACAACATTTCGCATCTCTGTAAGTCCGATAACGATAACGATTTACTTGGGTTGAAGCAACAGCTGACTGTGACACTTGTGTTCCCCGTGAAGAAGAAGAACAATTTGTTGGAAAAATCGCAATTCGCAAATTACAAAAGTAAATTCGTGCAATCGAAGGCATTCTTGTGCCCCGTCTTGTGGACCCACCTAGTGGCGTGACCGTGAGCAGTGGTGCATGACAAGACCCAAGAGACCAGCGCCCCCGCAAACCTCTGCAGCCTGATATGAGAGCACCCAGGCGGATCGTGGCCAGTTGATTCCAGCCTAGTTTTCAGAATGTTCCGGAGTCGAAGCTGGTTTGGCGGACCCTGGGGCGGGCGGCCTAAGAACCGCCTGTCGCTGGAGCACCTCAAGTACCTGTACAGCATACTGGAGAAGAACACCACTGTCTCGGAGAGCAACCGCGGACTGCTGGTGGAGTCGCTGCGCTGCATTGCAGAAATTCTGATTTGGGGTGACCAGCACGATTCCCTGGTGTTCGAGTGAGTTGCTATAGTGTCCCTTCCTTGTCACACAACGCAAAGTTATTCTTTGTGTCTTTTAGCTTCTTTTTGGAGAAAAATATGCTCTCCTACTTCCTGCACATCATGCGTCAGAAGAGCGGAGGCTCCAGCTTCGTGTGTGTCCAGCTGTTGCAGACACTCAACATCCTTTTCGAAAACATACGCAACGAGACATCTCTGTGTAAGTCGTAATATCCATTACTAGAAGTAACTTCTATGCTAACGAGTAATTTATTTTTTAGATTATCTGCTGAGCAATAACCATGTCAATTCCATCATGGTGCACAAGTTCGACTTCTCCGATGAGGATGTTATGGGCTATTACATCCTTTTCTTAAAGACGCTCAGTCTCAAGCTAAACACCCATACAATACATTTCTTTTATAATGAGGTTTGCAGAACCTGAAAAATATCTAAACATTCAGCTAACTTGCATTTTTCCTTACAGCATACAAATGATTTTCCGTTGTACACGGAGGCCATTAAGTTCTTTAATCACCCTGAGTCCATGGTGAGGATTGCTGTGCGCACCATTTCCTTAAATGTATACAAGGTTCAAAACTCAAGCATGTTGCGTTTTATCCGAGACAAGTAAAGTCGCTACTTTATATTTTTTAGAATCATTATGAACTATTTAGTTTACTTTCAGAACTGCTGCTCCGTACTTTAGTAATTTGGTGTGGTTCATAGGCAAACACATTTTGGAACTGGATACTTGTGTGCGCACAGATATAGAGTAAGAATTATATCATAATCCATTAGTTTTGGTAACTTACACTTTTCTTCGTCCATAGCCACCAGTCAAATCAGAAGCTTTCCAATTTGGTAGCTGAACACCTGGATCACTTGCACTATTTGAGCGATATTCTTTTGCTGGACATCAAAGATCTAAACGCGGTGCTCACTGAGCACTTGCTGCATAAACTTTTTGTCCCCCTGTACATATTCTCGTTGACACCAGCTCCGCCTCCGCCATCATTGGCGGTGGTCACCCAGAATCTAGCCGCTGTGCTTAATCGCAACGTGGACATCGACATCCAGGAGATGCACAACCCTCGAGTAAGCTCTATTGTGGCCCTTTTCCTGCTCTCATTGGTCTTCCTGGTGGTTTCACATGCCCCGCTGGTCCACGCCCTGGCATGGGTTATCCTCAACGGCGACCACAGCGTCTTTAAGGAGGGCGCGGCTGAAATTCTCAATTCATACGTTGAGCACCGCGAGGTTGTTGTGCCTGGGTTCGGTGAGCCCAATGAAAGCCTTGAACAGGCGCTGGATACAGTGACCGGTCAGTCCAGCGCCTCCAGCTATGCTCTCAGCGAGGACAGTGGCGTTGAATCCTCCTCTCCGGCTGCCACAGAACTGGACTCTCAGACAGATGCGATAGAAGCAGAGCAGACAAAACTACGTAACATAACAGATGAAGAAAAGCAGTTGCTGCAAAAAACATCTTCCTCAGCGAAGTCAGATTTTGTTGAGATGGCCAAACCCTTTTTGGACACTGTCCTGCATGCTTTGGATTGCACCGAAAACGATTACCTGGCGCTGCTTTCTCTGTGCCTCATATATGCAATGTCGCACAATCGTGGTAAGTTTTGTTTCGACTTCCTTGTACTTGTCCTATCGCTCTGTTTTTGGTCTAATGCTATGTAACTTTTCATTGCTCTGTTCACCCCATTTGTGCTTCATTCTAATTGCTTTCTATGTGTGTAATGAACATTTCACATTCTGGTACCTGTCACACTCCAGATGGTATGTAACTTGACCACTTCCCGTACTAATCAATCATTAGCTATCAGATCCAACCAATCACTAATTTGTTCTTAAACTATTTCACATAGGCATAAAAAATGAGTGGTTCGAGCAGGTTCTGGCAAAGTCAACGCGTGGCTCCTTCAGCTATAAGACAGCCTTGATTGAGCAGCTGCTGAACATTATCACACAGTCTAGTCAGCCATGTATGTAGAATAATTCTACCCTTATAAGAAAAATATTTAATAATCCTTTACTACAAACTTAAGCCTCCCGCATTCGCTTGATCACCGTTGAGATTGCTTTGGAGTTATTGGTAACCTTCACCCGTCCCAGCTCTGATGAGACTCGCTGCATCACCGCAGCCCAACAGGATCTCCTCTTCAGCGCCCGTAACCAGTCAATGGTGGTTCTTCGCAACTTTTACAAGTCGGAAGACATATTTCTTGATCTTTTCGAAGACGAATATAATGAGATGCGAAAGGCTCAACTAAATGTGGAGTTTCTGTGCATGGACTCCACCATCCTACTGCCTCCTACAGGAACGCCCCTTACAGGTATTAACTTTACGCGACGCCTTCCCTGCGGGGAGGTGGAAAAGGCCCGCCGAGCTATCCGTGTATACTTTCTGCTGCGACGCACGTGCCAAAAGTTTCTGAATGAGAAGGAGTCCCTGCTGCCGTTGACAAATGTCATCAATCTTGTGCAGGTGGAGAACGTGCTTGACCTAAGTGAGTTTTAGCCTTAAAAAAACTCAAAACATTACACTAAATAATCTTCATTCCCGTAGATAATAGTGACCTGATTGCTTGCACAGTTGTGGCCAAGGACAGCAGTAAACAAAGACGCTTCTTAGTTATTGATGCACTGCAGTTAATCCTGGTTGAGCCAGATGCCAAGCTGCTAGGATGGGGAGTGGCCAAGTTCGTAGGATTTTTGCAGGACGTGGAGGTGCAAGGTGATAAGGACGACTCGCGGTGTCTGCACATAACTGTGCACCGCGGAGGGGTCACTCACAACCGCTCCCCGCTGCTCTCGGCAAAGTTCCTTTTTGATGATCACATTCGATGCATGGCTGCCAAGCAGCGGCTGACCAAGGGGCGCAGCAAAGCGCGTCAAAAGAAAATGTACCAGATCGCCCAGCTAATCGAGATTCCTGGTCAAATGGATTCGCCAGTATTCGCTGTGGGCGGCACCATGGCTGTGCCTAGTGGCGGTGGCAGCGGCAACAGCAGTGGTAGCAGCTCCCGCAGCGGTCATCATCGTCCTATGTTCTCGACGGCCAATCGCGTACCTGGATTTGCAGCCGTGCTACGAGGAAACAATAGCGCCGGGGTTAGTCGTACTCAGATGGCGCCGAATCGATCTATCGAGGGGTAAGTTGAAGTAGATGTGTTATCATGTTCCTCATTCCCATCCTCATTTGTGCGTCTTCCTGCAGAATTAGGAATGAAAGCGCAGGCCGCTCCCGACGCCGCAGTCCCAGCTCAACTTCGGGCTCTAATCTTAGGGCAGATCACTCGGATCGGGAGCGATCGCCCAGTGTTAGTATGGGCAGCCACAGCTCCTCGCAGTCGCGGGAGAACTCCCAGCCCAGAAGCACGGGCAACCGTTCGCGGGAGAGCAGCCCTAGGATGCCAAGGCCGCGGTAACGATACAAAACTTTTGTCCGTTTTTTTTTGTTCAATTGGTTGATGTTAATGAGTTTTGGGAATTGTAGATTCATTCTTTATTAGTTTGTTAGATGTAATTATTTAAATGGGATTTTATAGTTTCTTTACATCTTTCTTAAAATTTTCAAAATTCAGTGCTATTAATTATAGTAAAAATAAATGAAACTTTTTCCATTACCATATATATAACATGTATTGTAAGATTGACGTATTTTAGTATTAACAATAATGTCTACAATTATTTACGAAAATATCCTTCAAAGGCTTTATTTAACCTTGCAATAATTTCGAAAATAAATAGTGAATGCTAATTAATTGTTTGTTCATTCTTCATAGTTTCTGGTTTCTTATTTATTATAAAGTATCTAAGTTTCAATAGCATGTGCATGTTCAGCATTAAAATTTTTCCATTATTAATGATGAAAAAATAAATATTTTTTCTTTCCAGTTCAGAGGAGATTCCTCTTGAGGATTTCCAGCACTCGCGCACCAACAGTCCGCACTCCCGGGGAAACCCTTCGCCCGCCTCCCGCTCGCACACGCCAATTCGGGTGATCCATTACGATCAAATATCCGGGCACAGCGGCTCGCCACGAGATTCATCTCTTGGGGGTACTAACGCCCTGTTAAGCCAGCTGAACGGCCTGGCCCGCGAAGCCCTGCCAGTGCAGAGCTCCGAGGAAACATCTTTTATCGGGAGCGACGTAAACGACTCTACTGGCGGCTCCGACAGCAGGCGTCGGGGAGCCATTGAGACGGTCTAAATTAAATAAGAAATTCTAGTATTACATTGGAAGGAGCCTTATGCTTAAATTGTTGCTAACCTTTTGTTATTCCAATTGACTTATGTGGTGGTAAACACTCTTATTGCTTTTAATTTTAAATAAAAGTTAATTTGACGAATTTGAACTTAAGTGGTGTATTTCAATTAATTTTAAGTATTGAATGGATGTATTCTTGTACTACAGTTGTCAAATATAGCTATTATGGTTGTTTCAAGAACATGAATATTAATAATATACAATTGCTTCTATTTTTTTTCCGTTCAAGCAAGGGTCCAAACAAAATTTAAAATTTAAGGAATGCCTCTAATGTCAGTTATTTGTGTGAATGGCAAGAAAACCGTATCAGCTGTTGCTTGTTTTTGTTTTGTGACATAACCGCAATTTACCAGAAGCTCAAATTCATCAAACATTTAATAAAAACACGCGTTAACTAATATTATTTATTAAGTTGATATGTCCCACAAGTACACTGAGTTGATTAAACTCGGCACGCAGTATGCCCGCCGTATGAACTACCTCTCAAATCGCATATTCGACGAAGTAGCGCGCACCACCAACGAAAAGTCCATGAAGGTTTGTTCTTATTTTTATTTATAAAAAAATGTTTAAAATGCCTCATTTCTTAATATTCTAGGTGGTTCGGATGTTCTCAGAGGAACCTATTCACAAAAGAGACTATGTGGTTAACTGGTATCCACGACACGTGGAGACTCACTTGCTGATGAAGAACCTACGCGACTACGGATTGTTTCGGGATGAGCACCAGGACTTTAAGGAGGAGATGAAGCGTCTGCGCAAGCTACGTGGCAAGGCACCACCCAAAAAGGGCGAGGGCAAGCGAGCCTCGAAGAAGTAGTATCATAAATAAACAAAAACACAACTTTATTTAAAAAAATCTATTCTGTTCTGCTGCGAGTCAGCAACTTGGCACTGCCTTGAAAAACCACCTCGTCGTTTTGCTGTATATCGTACTCCACGGTGGAGATTTTCCGACTCTGAAGTAGGCGCACAGTAACCAGGGTATCTGTCTCAATTCGACAGGGTTTAATAAACTTGAAGCTCTGCTCAAGAACCACGGTCCCGGGTCCCGGTAACTGAGTTCCCATAATTCCAGCTACCACCGCATTTAGCAGGGCTCCATGCACGCGTCGCTCCTCAACAGGTGTTTCTAGGCTGTGAATGTAATTGTGATCGCCAGTGAACTGGGCAAACTGCTCCAAATCACTTTGAGAAAACCGCTTAACTACTTGCACTTGCTGAAGTGCTCGGCTGCTCAGCTGACGGCGAAGTTGAAGAAACATTTTGTAGTTGAATAATCTCGGTACGTGTGGCGAAATCATGCAGTAATAAATGGCAAAGGTTAACAATGCGCTTATCTTGAGCTTTCACCCGCCACTCCTGCACAGTTTTAAGAACCGAAGGACTCAGCAGTACGTCTCTGCCAGCCTCACCGGATTCCAGTAGTTGGTAGAAGAGTGCTAGACTGTGGAGCAATGTTTCTGGATGATCTGTTCGGACAAAAAGGTCAGTGATGAGTTTTAACTGCTCCCTGATAAATTTGGAAGCGGCTTTGTCTGTAAAATATAGATTAGAATCAATTAGAAGCTAAGTCTACAAATCCTACTTTTCATACCCAAACAAAGATTACACAATGCAGCAATTGCGTGTAATTTCAGTTGCTGATTTTGGGACTCTAGCGATGCCTGGAACACATCAAGGGCTTCGGCCTCCAGTAGGTGTGGCCAGTTGATCGGATCGTAGGCAAAGTTGGCCAAATTCGCAGTCACCTGCTCCTGGGCCTCTAAAAATGAATATTCAAACAGTTAATCGTTCAACCAATAAAAAATTAAATCCTCACCGATGTTTGTCGTTGTGTAATACTCATCGACCAGGTGACCAATGTACTCCCGGCGGTCTATGCCCTGAGCAGGAGTCCTCCGCTTCAATGTCCTGCGGCTGGAGAACATAAAAGTTTTTCACTGTCGGGATTTGAAATACGTCCCAAAGTACCATTCACAAATTAAGACACCTATGGACATTCTCATGGAAACGTTGACATCGCGGGTAAAAAAGTTCTTGTTAAACGAAAATGTAGGTAAAATCTCCAGGGACTTTTTATTATATGTATGTAAGCATAAAATCGAACAACCAGGCAGAGGATAACATATTTTTTTGTTTCTTTTATTTCAGTATGCATATAAAAAAGCAAAATGCGATAAAATATTTCAAAGATAATTTTATTAAAGCAAATTTAGTTTTTTAAATGTAAACCACCATTTAGTAAAAACCTCCCTCGAATCTATCCTAATCCCTTATCCTTCCTTTTTACTAGAACTCTCAGTTCCTGAGAACTCAGTGTCATTGGAATTGCTAAAGTGGCTCCTGGCAGCTGCAACGGATTTCGGTGGGACGTTGAACAGAGGGTGGGTGGGCAGTAGTTCGTTAATGGTGTCGCCAAGGACCTGCGGGCTATTGGCGCACTCCGAGTGCTGGGCAATGGAAACACCACTGAGGGTATAGCATGTGTGGTAGAGATCTTGCGGTCTGGAAATTCTCTTCTTTAAATATACAAATTCAGTAAGTTAATAAAAATTACTTACTTTCCGGGCTTATCGATAAGCCCACCGCTCTGCTTCTGACAGCAGAGCAGGATGTACTCCTGTAGGGCCTCTACATCAAACAGAGTGTGCTCCATCTGCTTGTCAACGCCCGACAGCGTGGCCTGTGTAATGGGAATTGTGGCGCCAACCCAAAAGGAATAGCAGCCATCGACCAGTTTATTAGTCCTTCCCTGGAAGCCTCCTTCAAAACACATCTGCCGGCGCAAAGTCCACTTGAGCAGGGCCTGTCTATCGCACTTCTCTGCTTCGTTGAGCAGCGCCAAGCCAGCAATTCCGCAAAAAGTGTAGCCACCGTGAGCCTCCAGATCAGGGGCTCCACCAAATCCGCCTTCGTAAGTCTGACACTGAGCTATCCAGTCACCGGTGCCGGCAAACAACTCTTTTATCACCGGCTCGGGAAGATTAACTAGCTTAGCGCAGGAGATAGCGCAATAGGCGCCACGAACATCTGTCTCTCCGTCCACATGAAGTCGAAATGAGCCATCTGATTCGCGGACACTGAATAGAAACTGCACCAAAGTAGGGCGATCAATGGTTCGGTACGCTTTTTCTGTTCCAATTATACAGAGGCTGTTTACAGCTGCATATGTTGGCGCCAGGTGGGCATACTGTCCTGGACCTCCACCAAAACCTCCGGTTGGCGAGCGGCATCTATGGAATAGAGGAGAGTTGGTGAAACTATTTCTACGATATCTATTAGGTACACACTTGCCAAGAAACTGCACCACCTGGTCTAGTGTCTGATCATCGAAGGTGAAGCTAAGAAGCTGTGCCGCCTGGAGGATCCAGTAAACACACCACGGGCGACTGCTATCCAGGCACTCATAGTTGGAGGGAAGTCCTCTAAGCATTAAGTCTAGGTAGTACTGGTGCTCCAACCGGAAGATCTGGGTAAGGCGCGGGTGAGTGTAGAGTAGCTGCTCAAAGCGGTCAAAGCATTTCTCCACCGATCCTTCAGTCTTTTGCTGCAAGTTTCCATCAAGTTCTTATCTTTTGACTGACCTCGCCAGATGATTACTCACCTGCTCGCGGGACGTGGTGGTGGACACCTTCTCGTCGTCGAACATGTCGATCTTTAAGCGCCGAAAATTGCGAAACAGCAGCTCCACCTCGGATCCCATTTTGGCGCTGGTTTATATTCCTTCAAATTAAATAAAATAAACTAAAAACGTTTTCGCCGAATAGGAATTTCACGACTGTTGTTTGGGTCGAGAAAATCTGTTTTACAACACTACATACACTGAGTATGTGGGGTATTCACAAAAACAAAAAAGTAAACGTTTTTTGCTATCCACAAGTGATGTTTCTTTATGTTCTATGTTTTTTTAATTTGCAAGAAGTGTATACATACATATGTATTTACGTAGATATATATAAATGAGTATAAACATATTTAATATTTTAATACACACAAAATTACGAATAAAATTAATTATTATTCAGTTATCTTTGGGACATCAGGCTTTCTGTGGTGACAAGCCTAAAGACGCTGGTTTGAGAACTAGAATCCTGGATCAATGCTAGGGCTGCCTCGTCAGAAGTCCAATAGGTATACAGTTCCATGAAGCCATAGACGGCAATGCACACCACTAAATAGGCGGTCAGAGTGGCAAAAATCTGAAACACAATTAGCAATGAGATCTGCAACAATCACCAAATCAATCAATTTACAATGTTCGGTCACCTACACCACAAAACTCACAATGATGCTTCCCTTTATGATCAGCAGAAGCCATTCATTCCAATGGAGCTTGCTAACCCAAGTTATAAGAGGATCCGATCCTGACGGGACATTTCGGATACTCAATTTGATCTCTCCTCTTTCCCCCCAGGTATCTGTCCTCAAGGGCAGAAACCAGTCGTAATAGAGCTGGGTCAGCATTGGCACCTCAAATGGTGACTTTTTCTGAGGGATATTCTCGTTTTCGGATTGTTCCTGGGATTGGGTCTGTCCATCCGTTAAGTGCTGAAAGCAATCATTGAAATCAGCCAGGGTCAGTTTTCGAGACGAGTGGCAATCCTCCTGCGTATTGGGATTGTAGTGGTGGCGAGGTGGGATAGCCAGTTTCCTGTTCTTTTTCTTGTTAAGATTTGCCAAATTGGGTTTCGGCACTTCCTGCTGTTGCAGGAATTATACAAATTATGATTAGTTAGAATGATTAGTTAGATTCTATATATTGAATTGAGTACTCGGTAAAAAACATACAATATTATATATTTTTTAAAGTACATTTTTTTTGCGAAGTATTTTTTAAAATATGAGAAAAAAATTAAGGAAACACCCAATTTGTGTAACCATAGGCCCCGGCGAGATTCGAACTCACGATCTCCTGTTTACTAGACAGGCGCTTTAACCAACTAAGCCACGGCGCCATGTTCACGCGTGTGGTCAAAGTTTAGACGTTTGCTTCCTCTTCTGCAGGAATGTATAAAATTTCGCTACTCGTATGCACTGCTTTATCAGCTTGCTGGAAAGCAGTTTTAATTCAGTTTAATGTTAAAAGCAATAGATGGCGTTGAAGTAAAACAAAATATTTAAAAAACGTAAATTGAAAAAAATTAAATTAAATTAAATAAATTATAATTTTTCCCATAATGAAACATACCAGTGGCGGTCCTCGCAAATGCAAAAAATTTGAATCGTACTTCCCCTGCTTGATTAGATCAATTTCTTCCATCGAGACAAAATTTCCTGGATCGACACCTTCATTGCTGAAAATATCGTAGTATTCCCCAGGGCCCGAACAGTCTGACACCTCTTCGCACTGATCTTTTTCCACGTTGAAAAAGCTGCGCTTGCCAAAGTATCGCCTTTCGCAATTTAAAGGTGTACAGTTCCGGAAGTAATCCATGTCCCAATTGTGACAGTCCGTATAATCCATTCGCTTGCGCAGTTTATTGCTATGCGGATCAAGAGTCTCAAAGCGGGTATCAAAATACAGGATCTGACTGGAGGTGGCTACCGCATCCGTGTCATGGGCACTCGTAGCAGAGATTAAAATGGGGCAACTGCCCACTCGATTGTACAGAGACTGCGGTAGCAATGTAAAAATAAATTTCATAACTGAATGAAACCGTTTTTATAAATCGCGAAATCTTTGTTTCCTCAAAGTAACATCTTTACTTCTTAAACTAACTATAAATGTTATAACTATACTAACCACTGTGGGCCATACTAGGGAAACAGTTTCACTCTTGCCTGGTTCAACGGCACCGAAATCACCGCCAAAGATTCGTCCCATCGAGTGCACCTGCTCACCTTCGGTTGTGTTTACAGAGCATTCCCCATTCGGGACGATCGTGAAATCTAGAGTCTCCCTTGTGTCACCTCTGATACGGTTGGTGACGGTCAGATCTGTTGGATTTAGATCTGTTAGGATCGATAAAAACCAAATGTGAACTTTACCGAAGATCAGGCCAATGTCCTTATCCCGAGGCACACGCACTATGACCTTTGTGGCACACAGGCTTCCGCCGGCGATATGTCTGTTGAGTAAAACGAAGCAAACCAACAGGTATTGTAACATTTTTTGATTTAATTTCCTTGGCTACTAACAAAATAACGATTGTTTTCGCTGTTTAGTTTAATCCATGAAACATATACATCATTTTGCAAGAGTTGCGGACTTTTGGTCAAAAAACTGAGATAATATGGAACGAACTTTTACCATTTGCTTGACAGCCCGATAAATTTCGTGGCCAAACCCAGTATCAGTTGATAGTTCCCCATATAAAATACTTCGAATACATCAACCCCTTTGAGTGTCCTTATCCACATACTTCTTACTGCAGAAGGGGCTCGTCACGATGAGGATCCCTAATGGGTTGTTGTTTAATTAAGTGTAATTTTAGTGGTTGGCTACCCCTAAGTCGAGTCCTGGCAATATCCTGGCTGGGTTCGTACTCTGTATCGCCGCATCTGTATCCATGGCAACATTTACTGCATCCATTGCAATTTATGTTTTAATCATCAAATGCGACCCAATTAATCAACGTTGCTGGCCTTAATTTATGCGGCGGAACAATGTTTTGAAGTAACCCGACGCGACATCGCACGACAGGTGACATTTTGCGGCGCAAAAAGGACGCAGAGTGGGGAGGGAGAGCTGAATGCAATGCATATTCATATAAGCCAAGACGTAATTTATGCCGAAATTCAAAACTAATTTGACAGGAAATAATTAATTTGGCATCGAAAGAGTCCAAAATAAAAGTGCTGCCAGCCAGTGCCAATTAAAATTATTTCGCTTTCATTACCCAATGGAGCAGCCGTAATAAAAGTCTTACCAGAAACCCGAAAAAACCCCAACCTCTCGGCACATCCAATCCCAGAGACAAAGACAGCAAAAATAAAAGGCGAAAACTAAGCAAGCCAAAAGCAAAAAAAAAGTTTAAATAATGAAATCACTTCGCACCATCTCGAAATTGCTCATTAACATTTTGTGTTTGCGATATCAACTTGTGAAAATCACAGGGCCCAGCAGACTCCGTTGTGACTGGAGTCCGGACTCCAGGCCGGGCCAAAACAGACCATACCCATACCCATACCCATACCCATACTCATACCGATACCAAAAGACCAGGCCCAAATGCAGACCCAGACTCCGAGGCAGCAGCAGCTACTTGGCTTTTATTTATTATGCCATGTTGTTGTTGTCGCCGTTGAGGTGTTGCAGTTGCTGTTTTAGCCAAGCTGACTCTTATTAGTTGGGTCAGTCCGTCTTACATTTCTTGTCTTTTTTTTTAGCCTTTTTCTCTGTGGAGGAGGTGTGAAATCTGTTGAAATCCCCTCTGGACTTTCCCTCTAGCTGGATGTCCTCGCTGGCCGGCTGGTTTCGTCTGCGGGTCGTGATTTGTCTGCAAAAGACACAAACAACTCCTCGGACCTCAGCAATTTTTCTAAAGGTCGTTTGCTTTACCTTTACATTTGCCTTTACTCAATGAAATTGGCTCAGCTACCCATGATACACAGGAAGAAAAGTCAGAATAGTGTTGTTCATCATTATTTTTATATACTTAACTGTACTAGTAAATAATATTAGTTAGGAATGACATCTATCTTCCATTCTATATGGTTAGTTAGATTTATTTAGGTCCCACATGGCGTATACTAAATGTGAATAAGAAATTTAAAGTGATTCTTTTTAAAATGTTCAACTACTTCGTGTTAAGTAATAAACCTTTCAACTTCTGTCATGTAAGCTGCATACCCCATATTTTCTCACAGTGCATCACACATCCCAGCAGCGAGAACTGCAGTCAAAGTCAGAGATAAGACGGCTGGCTAACTGACTGGCTGACTGGCTGACCGGGTGTATTTCAGTAGCCATTCGATTTATGTTAAATAAGCTGAACGCAAGCTCTGTTTGTTGTAAAATACCAATTGCCAGGCTCATCCGCGAGGAGGAACAGAGACGGATGGTCTTGAAATGTGGGAGTGGGAGAGAGATTCCTCTGTGATTCACGTTTCTGCATCATTCCATTTTTTCATTTATTTCTGTTTTTTTGTTTCATTTTCCATGTGTCGTTGTCGCTGCTGCTGCTGTTGCTGCTGGTGTTTGTGTTGTTGTCGTTGGACTGCATCAGATTTCTTAATTTAATTGGCTTTATGCAAGAAGAGGTTCTCTTCTTTGCTTGGGGATAACTTTTATAGACAAACTGTCTGCAGGTCCTGCTACTCCTGCTCCTCTGCTCCTCCACCTACCAATACCTTCTCCTTCAGGCCATCTCCAATCTGAAAGCCAGAAAAAATCGTGGGAATCGTCTATCTGGGCGCGTGTGGACTCGCCGCTGCAAATGCAAAACAGCTTAACCCAATTTTTTGTTACTTCGCCTCAGCACAAAAACAAAACAAAAAATCAATAAGAAACAAAAGAAAATGCTGCACGTAATTGTAAGTTATGAGCAGCCGCCGCCGCACCAACAACTGGCCAGAATAAAATGAAAATCGTTGAGGTTTTCCATCATCGCGTGCAGGCTGGCAGCGTTTTAAGAACAATTGCAGCGCATTTAAGCATAAATGCAGGCAAAAAACTCCGCGTTTCCGCACTGGGAAAAAACATATCTTCTGAACTTTCGGTTAATACCAGTTGGGAATTATAGGCACATTGAGTGGACTATAAGCTTAACTAAAGGTTGTAGTGCCACAAAATTATAAATAAATTTGAAGGTAAATTTCATTGCTAGAACTCTTAGATATAGTTTTATATAAGTTTAGAATATTTTAGTAGATTAAACAACTTAAAATATATGTAGCATACCAAAGGGAGCTATAGTCATTTTCATGATCATCATCATATCTAATAATATACTACAATATTTGTCCTCCTATCACCTCCTATTTTTTAAGTTGTTTTATTTTGAGTGCTCTGTAGGTGTATTGGCATATGTCTGTGTAAGCTTTGCTAGTGTGTGCGACACTTAATCATCAGCGTGAAATGAAGAAAAAGAAATGGCCAAGTCGAGGCCAACTGTGTACTTGGCTCTTCTTTCCTCGCTCCTGAGAATGTACGAGTACATATATAATTAAGCCATAAATTCTGTTTTTATGATTTTCCACAAAGTTATGAATTTATGGCAGCCCACAAAGCACTCAAATGCAGACACAAATACATACACAACCACTTGCGGCAAAAACGGAAGTGAATTTAAATGCGCGCGCATGCGAAATGGAAGTAGAGTTCCCCTCTCTCCCCCTCAACCCATCATCTGAAAAATTAAAAAAAAAAAAGGGAAGACCAATCGTAGTTAGTCCGGCCATGTTTGCCCATAAATGTGTCGAGCACTTTGCCCAGACCTCGTAAATTTAACGCTTTTAAGTTTTATTTCTTTCGCTACGGTCGCTCTCCATTTCGTTGATGGATGTTGGCAAAGAGGGTGGGGTATAAGGGGTTAAATAAAATTTAAATATTTATTGTACTCTATATTTTGTTGCCATGCAAATTGGCAGAGCTCCTACCGCAATCTATATAGGCCATGGAGCTCGAAGGGTGTCCATTTCGGCTACAAAATGTACACCGAATTTCTTCGGCATTAATTGCATAAAATTGTGCCCCTTTCGCTGAAGTTGTACATGTAATGATATCCCCTCGACTGAGTGGTACTCCTCACTGGGACAATTAGCATAATCGCTTTGGAAATTGCAACCCAAAAGTTAACTTCCATCTCCTCGAGGCACTGCAAACTGACGCGTATCTTTAACTGGCTAATCGCCATCGATGATCGTCGGGGTTGTCAAGATGGCCAGGAGGAGACCTCTCAGAACGTAAGAAAAATTAATACAACAATTACCGTAATTACGCGAAATGCTCATAACTGCTCGGGTCATGGCTGCTTCCTAATGCGAAAATAACGTTATTAATTTCGAACGCCCTTCGTTGTGAGGGGTCACTTGATCTAGGCAGCGTTGCCAAGTCGAAAGCCACCCCTAGGGAGCTATTAACTACGTATTACATTGCAATTACCAAAGCCCGCGAAATACCCTTACCTATTTATGAGTATCTAAAAAAGTAAGTTACTAAAGAAGGTGGTAAATTTATTGATTTTTTAGAAGATACAGATCTCTCTAAATACCGATCACTTTTAATACTGTTTTAGTAAATTCTAAATCAGAAAAGGTTCGTAATATATTAATGAAAGCTAGATGTTTCTGAGAGCTTTTCAAGATTTTAAAATCTATATATTTATAGTAATTATTTTTAAGATATATAACAGTTTGATACTTTTCAACCAGTTTCAAAATCTTTAAAGAATAATTAGTATCCTGCTATACTTTTTAGAGTGTACAAATAAGTCTTCTTGCTCCAATCTCTCAGTCAAGGAGTATCCTTTAAAAGTATCCTTTACATGAGGACCCCGGGACAGGAATATTCAAAATGACTTGTCACTAGTGCGGCATGCGCTAAATGGGCAGGTGCAATTGAGAACGGCGACAGGGCGACGCGGCTCCTTGGCCAAGTGATGTTCTTGTTTTCATAAAATTGCAATATTAATGCGGAAAATCTTTGGGTAAGGGAACAAGGAGCACGGACAAGGTGTGCAGCAGGCCATCATTTGGTGCAACTCGGCGTGTTTCTGGGTTCCTTGTTGTTGTTTTTTGTTTCACCTTATTTTTTGTGCCCTGGAAGTCGCTCCACATGCTTGACATTGATGCAATTTCGTTTGCCGGCAGCTGACTGCGAAATAATCCCCCTCCTGGCCATCATATCCGCACTTAGTCGCAGCAATTAAACGAGATTAAATCGCCGGTGCAATGCTGCTCCATGTGGAAATACCAGAGCAGCTACGTTGTCCATGTGCCCATGTCCAAGTCCATGTCCATGTCCATGTCCATATTCATGCCCAACCCGAGGCGCAATTATATTTGAAAATGCAATAAAATATGGCCAGAGCTAGCTGCAACAAAGCCCAGCTTGATTTGCATAAATATTTTTTTGTTGCACAAAGAACCAGCGAACAATTTCATTGTTGCCACTCACTTGGGACTCACTACGTAGAATGCAGAATGCAGAAGATGGGGAGAAATGGT